CAGGGCTACAGCTGCGCCTGCCCCACGGGCGTCAAGCTGGTGTCGCCCAACACCTGCGCCAACGGCTCCCAGGAAATGCTCTTCGTCGTCCAGCGGACGCAGATCAGCAAGATCTCGCTGGACTCGCCGGACTACACGATATTCCCGCTGTCGCTGGGGAAGGTCAAGTACGCCATCGCCATCGACTACGACCCTGTGGAGGAGCACATCTACTGGTCGGACGTGGAGACCTTCACGATCCGCCGGGCGCACACAGACGGCACGGGGGTGACAGACTTTGTGACCTCCGAGGTCCGGCACCCCGACGGCCTGGCGCTGGACTGGCTGGCCCGCAACCTCTACTGGACGGACACGTCGACGGATCGCATAGAGGTGTGCCGGCTGGACGGCTCCGCCCGGAAGGTGCTGATCTACGAGCACCTGGAGGAGCCGAGGGCCATCGCAGTTGCGCCCTCGCTGGGCTGGATGTTCTGGAGCGACTGGAACGAGCGCAAGCCCAAGGTGGAGCGCGCCTCCCTCGACGGATCCGAGCGCGTGGTGCTGGTCTCCGAGAACCTGGGCTGGCCCAACGGCATCGCCCTGGACATCGACGCCAAGGCCATCTACTGGTGCGACGGCAAGACGGACAAGATCGAGGTGGCCAACATGGACGGCTCCGGGCGGAGGGTGGTGATCAGCGAGAACCTGAAGCACCTCTTCGGGCTGAGCATCCTGGACGACTACCTGTACTGGACGGACTGGCAGCGCCGCTCCATCGACCGGGCCCACAAGATCACGGGCAACAACCGGATCGTTGTGGTTGACCAGTACCCGGATCTGATGGGCCTGAAGGTCAGTCGCCTGAGGGAGGTGCGCGGCCAGAACGCCTGCGCCGTGCGGAACGGGGGCTGCTCCCACTTGTGCTTGAACCGGCCCCGGGACTACGTCTGTCGGTGCGCCATCGACTATGAGCTGGCCAACGACAAGCGCACCTGCGTGGTGCCCGCCGCCTTCCTGCTCTTCTCCCGGCAGGAGCACATCGGCCGGATCTCCATCGAGTACAACGAGGGCAACCACAACGACGAGCGGATCCCCTTCAAGGACGTGAGGGATGCCCATGCGCTGGATGTGTCCGTGGCCGAGCGAAGGATCTACTGGACGGACCAGAAGAGCAAGTGCATCTTCCGCGCCTTCCTCAACGGCTCCTATGTGCAGAGGATCGTGGACTCTGGCCTGATTGGCCCCGATGGCATTGCGGTGGACTGGCTGGGCAACAACATCTACTGGTCGGATGCCGAGGCGCACCGCATCGAGGTGGCCCGCCTGGACGGCAGCAGCCGCAAGGTGCTCCTCTGGAAGCTGGTGGAGGAACCGCGGTCTCTGGTCCTGGAGCCGAAGCGGGGGTACATGTACTGGACAGAGTCCCCCACCGACTCCATTCGTCGCGCCGCCATGGACGGATCCGACTTGCAGACCATCGTGACGGGAGCCAACCATGCCGCCGGTCTGACTTTCGACCAGGAGACCCGCCGCCTCTACTGGGCCACCCAATCGCGGCCGGCGAAGATCGAAAGCGCCGACTGGGATGGCAAGAGGCGCCAGGTTCTGGTCGGCAGCGACACGGACGAGCCCTACGCCGTGTCCCTGTACCAGGACTATGTGTACTGGAGCGACTGGAACACCGGCGACATAGAGCGGGTGCACAAGACGACCGGACAGAACCGGAGCCTGGTCCACTCGGGCATGACGTACATCACCTCGCTGCTGGTCTTCAACGACAAGCGCCAGACGGGCGTGAATCCCTGCAAGGTCAACAACGGCGGCTGCTCGCACCTCTGCCTGGCCCAGCCCGGCAGGCGGGGCATGACCTGCGCCTGCCCCACCCACTACCAGCTGGCCAAGGACGGAGTCTCGTGCATTCCCCCCAAGAACTACATCATATTCAGCCAGAGGAACAGCTTCGGGAGGCTGCTGCCCAACACCACAGACTGCCCCAACATTCCGCTGCCAGTCTCCGGCAAAAATATTCGAGCCGTGGACTATGACCCCATAACGCATCACATCTACTGGGTAGGATTGGGAATGGCCTCCTCTTAGGGAAGATCTTAATAGTTTCTTTGTATTCCAGATCGAGGGCAGGAGTCATAGCATTAAAAGGTCATTGGTGAATGGAACGAAGGTCAGCCAGCTGGCCAACTCAGGACAGCCCTTTGACCTGGCCATCGACATCATTGGACGTCTTCTCTTCTGGACTTGCTCCTACTCCAATAGCATCAATGTTACTAGGTAGGTCTTATGGCCATTCTTAAGTTTTAAATTTTATTTTTAAAATTTATTTTTTTAGTTTCCTTGGCGAGTCGGTGGGCGTTATAGACACTGGAGACTCGGAGAAGCCCCGCAACATTGCCGTCCATGCCATGAAGCGTCTGTTGTTCTGGACAGATGTGGGCAGCCACCAGGCCATCATTCGCGCCCGGGTGGACGGCAACGAGCGCATGGAATTGGCCTACAAGCTAGAGGGAGTGACTGCCTTGGCCCTGGACCAGCAATCCGACATGATCTACTATGCCCACGGCAAGAGGATCGATGTGATTGACATAAACGGCAAGAACAAGTAGGTTCTTAGGATTCTTTGTGAATTTTTCCACTAACATATCGGATATCCCTCTAGGAAAACCCTGGTCTCCATGCACATCTCCCAGGTCATCAACATTGCCGCCCTGGGTGGCTTCGTCTACTGGCTGGATGACAAAACTGGGGTGGAGCGCATCACAGTCAATGGCGGCAGTCGCTCTGCCGAGCTGCAACGTCTCCCCCAGATCACTGACATCCGGGCAGTGTGGACACCAGATCCCAGGGTGCTGCGGAACCACACCTGCCTGCAGGGCCGCACTAAGTGCTCCCACATCTGCATTGCCAGTGGCGAGGGTATGGGTCGCTCACGGGACATTTGCTCCTGCCCCAAGCACCTGATGCTGCTGGAGGACAAGGAGAACTGTGGCGCTTTCCCCGCCTGCGGACCAGACCACTTTACGTGCGCGGCTCCCGTGTCGGGCATCGGCGAGGTGAACAAGGACTGCATACCGGCTTCCTGGCGCTGTGACGGCCAAAAGGACTGTCCGGACAAGTCCGACGAAGTGGGCTGCCCCACTTGCCGGGCGGATCAGTTCAGTTGCCAGTCGGGCGAGTGCATCGATAAGTCCCTGGTCTGCGATGGCACCACCAACTGCGCCAATGGCCACGACGAAGCGGACTGTTGCAAGCGTCAGGGAGAGTTCCAGTGTCCCATTAATAAGGTGAGTTTGTGGTCCTTTTTTCAAGAGAGATTATGTACTAATCTTGCCCATCCTTCAGCTTTGTATATCCGCCGATCTTCTCTGCGACGGCTGGGAGAACTGTGCCGATGGAGCCGACGAGTCCTCGGAAATCTGCCTCCAACGACGCATGGCCCCTGCTTCGGACAAGCGCGCTTTTATGATTCTGATCGGCGCCACCATGATCATCATCTTCTCCATCGTCTATTTGCTGCAGTTCTGCCGCCGCAGCAGGACTGAGCCCAAGGATGACCAGGCTTCCGACCCGTTGTCGCCTTCCACGCTCAGCAAGTCGCAGCGTGTGTCGAAGATCGCCTCGGTGGCAGATGCCGTTCGCATGTCCACCTTGAACTCCCGCAACAGCATGAACTCCTACGACCGGAACCACATTACGGGCGCCTCAAGTTCGACGACCAACGGTAGCAGCATGGTGGCCTATCCCATCAACCCGCCGCCCTCGCCGGCAACCAGATCGCGTCGTCCGTATAGGCACTACAAGATCATCAACCAGCCGCCCCCTCCGACGCCCTGTTCCACGGACATCTGCGATGAGTCCGATTCGAACTACACGAGCAAGTCGAACAGCAACAATAGCAACGGCGGAGCCACAAAGCATTCTTCCAGCTCGGCGGCCGCCTGCCTGCAGTACGGCTATGACAGCGAGCCGTACCCGCCGCCGCCGACGCCGCGCTCGCACTACCACAGCGATGTGCGCATCGTGCCGGAGTCCTCCTGCCCGCCATCGCCCTCGTCGCGCAGCTCCACGTACTTCTCGCCCCTTCCGCCGCCACCGTCGCCCGTGCAGTCGCCCAGTCGGGGATTCACGTAACATTTTGAGATTTATATCTAAGGCGCGGAGGGAAGGAACATATCATTTCATTTTTGTTGGTTTTCGTCGTCCGGATTTTTATTATTTTTTTATTCAAAATTTCAGAGCTTATTTCTAAAACTGATTTGTAAATATGTATGTGTGTTTAATTGGTCATTTAAGGCTTTAACTAATTTTAATCGTAGCCTAGAGAGAGCGTCCACGCCCGGCGGACGCATCCGATCTCGTTAAGTTTCATTTTGCCAGAAGATACCCCGGACATAGATTGCAGCAGTACCCTGAACTGCAACCATAGACTGCAGATTTTGTAAGCGAAATGCAATTATTAGCAACTAAATTAGTCGTAAACTATCCAATATTCGATAGGTCGTAAGTCTTTCGTAATTCTGTGTGCCAAATTTTCAGAAACCAGACAGAGAAACCCACACTTTTTGATTGAAACCCACTTGTATACCTACTTATAGAGCATTTACCAGCTAGACATGATTTAAACTAAGTTCTAAAGTGTAAATAGATAATTCTTTTTTACGACAAAAGCAATATTGACAAAATATGCGAGTAATTCAACTGTCTTCTTAATTGTTATAAACACCAAAAAGTGCCTCAGTAATACGTGTGTTTTATTGTTTATTCTTAAATCCTCCTATATCATTTATCCATAGATAATACAAATAATAGTTAGTTATTCGTACGTAGTAGTGTTCTGCAATAATTAAATGAAGGTCAAATCATATTTATAGTTAATTATAGAGAGCGTACTTTGTAACAAAACCATACAACAAATATTTTTAAATGTAAAATGCAGTATTTTTAACAAAACTAAATCATCAAGTGTTTTATTATGCCCCTAGAAGACCCTTTCACACAGAGACACTTACTTACAGAAAGGTATTATTTTATTATAAAATCACAACGATAAAAAATAAATACTATTTAACAAAATGGAATGTCTGTCGGTAAAGAAAATAACACAGTGCTTCGTATGCCATTGGTATATACACGAACTGTATGAATTGACTACAAACTAGAAATACAAATACGATTTATTGCAGGGTTAGGTTTCGATTAGGTCGGCTTCACGCCGAACCAGCTCATCTTCCAGTTCAAGGTGTCGTGCAGCAGCTTTTCCTCCTCGGCCGTCAACTGAAGCAGGGTCGAGACAGCCCGAACCAGGTGACGGGCTTCCACCTAAAAATAAACATTGGATATTGGATACCCTTCTAACAAAAATTGTAACTACGAACCTCGCGACTGGTCAAGAACTTGACAATCACATGCTTCAAATACTGAAAGTTCACTTCGTCCATTATGATGCAGTTGCCCTTGTCCCCGCCCGGGAAGGTTTCGAGAGTCGTGGTGGCATTCCTATGGGACGATATGGTTGCCGCAAGAGATTCACTGTCCGTGGAGATCTGCGCACTGCGCAGCTCCTTCTGAATGGTTTTCTTCAGGTCGACCAGTCGTTGGTTCAATGTTTTTATTGTCTATTTAATAAAATACTAAATTAGTAAGTGATTAAGTACTAGTATTGCCAAAGCCCACCTTATTTTTCTCCATTACTTCCAACTGAACCCCTTCGTAGTCGGCCAGTTTCTTGGCGTTGTCCTGCGCTGTGCTGTTCACCTCTTGCAGGGCTTGTCGGGCCACTGATATATCCTTTTCGAGTTCCTTATTCCTATCCTGAAGATCGTTGGCTTCGCTGCGCTCCAGACGCAGCTGCTGCCGCAGAATGTCTTCGCTCTGCGAGATTTCCGCATTGCGAAGTATTGCAGTCATTTTTTCCTCCCGCTCCACCTCCAGCTGCATAATGGTTTCCTCCAGCTGCTCCTGCTTCTCGGACACCTGGGTGCGCAGCTTCTGGGCCACATGCTCCGCGTTGGAGGCGTAGTCGGTGAACCTGTCGTCCGCTGCCGTGAGGCGGTTCTTGAGATCTTTAACCTCTGTTTCCAGATTTTGCTGAGAACATTCGGTTTATTGTTTACAAAGGTTCTCCATCAAAAGGGGTAAGGGGATAATTTTAAAAGATCATGCATCAAGGAAAGAGGTGACCAATCATTCAACAAATCATTTTAATACAGAAAGAAAAACAATTATAATAGAGAAGTACATAATAGGTGTGAATTTTACCAAAGCTAGTGTTAAATAAACCAGGAACTTAGGTGGTTACGGTTAGTACTGCATTGTAGAGTAAATTAGTGTTACAAGTCCCAATGGAAATCGTCCGCATCGGAAGGCATACTCACAGATTTGTTGCGCTCGAATAGGATTTGTTGCTCGTTCTCCTCCCGGCACTCCTTCAGCGCCAGGTTCAGCTCATCGATCTCTTCCTCCAGCAACTTGACCTGAGAATGCAAGAAAGTGAGTTGGGTTTTTTAATAGCTATTGTTAGTCCACCTTATCGTTGCGCTGCTTGACCTCATCCTGGGCCTTTTCCAGCTCGAAGGTGACCTGCTTGCGGCTTTCAATGGCATCGTCGCGTGCTTTGAGGGCCTTGCGCTTCTCAGTCGTCTCCTCGGCCACCTGCTTTGATAGTCGGCTAACCTGAGTTTCCAACGCCAGGTTCTGGCCGCTCCAGGAGCCCTTAATGTCGGAAAGCTGCAGGTGCGCCTCTTCCAGGTGCTGTTCCAGTAGCTTGTGTTCACGAATCAGAGCCTGCACCTGCTGCTCAGCGCTGAGCTTGGCCAGGGATTCAAGGCGCGACTCCTCGACGATTTTCATGCGCTTTTTGAGGTGGTTGTTCTCTTCCTGCACGGCCGCCAGAGTGGTGGTCAGCAGGTTCTTCTCCTGCTGCGTCGCATGCCGCAGACTTTCGAGTTCGTCCCGCAAATCTTCGGCAACCGATTCTATTGGACGCAGGCGCTCCAGTTCCTCGCTGAGGGATTCGATTTGCTGGCTCTGTTGCCGCATGGCGCCCATGCGATCCACAGACTCCTGCTCTCGAAAGCTCAGCAGGTTCTTCAGCTTGTCGATCTCCACCTGCTGCAGGTTCTGGATCTTCTCCTGCTCCTCGCAGTACATGTCCTTCTGCGTCTGGGCCACGCGTACGCTCTCGAGCAGGATCTCATTGGTCTTGTCCACCCGCAACTTCTCCTCCTGCAACTGCTGGAGGCCCTGCGTCAGGGTGGACACTTTGGTGTTGAGCTCATTGCACTGACTCCGAAGCTGGCAGAGCTGCTCCGACTGCGCCGACAAAAGAAAACAGGTGTTAAATATTGATGTATACACAGACTGTTTCATTTTCATACCTCGTTGTAGATTCCACCGCCACCGCCCACATCATCAGCCGAGTTGGAATTAATGCTCACACGGCGGCTACGTAGCCGGTAGTTATTGTTGTTGTTTAGGGGAAGGCGTTGCTGTTGTTGGGCCGCCGTAGTGGCCACATCCTCGCCAGTCTCCTCCTTGATTTTGTTTTTCAGCGTGGCAAACATTTTCACGCCCACTGTAGCTTTTCCAATTGGAGGTAGTTGGCTTTTCCGGCGTTCCCGACACCCCGACAGCGGGAGTTCGACTGAATTATTTTTGGGGCTAACTGAAACGTGCCCGCTGCGCGTTTATAGCATAGCGGATTATCTTCGTCCGCTGTGTGCTAGTTGCTTATCAGAAAAATGTAAATTTTGTAAACTTTTGATATGAGCTGACAGTGTTGCCACACCGCACCGTTCCAAGCGTCCTTTTTCGAACGGTCTGGTAGCCCCGTTAAGGTGCAGGGCTGCATGACGATAACTGACGCTAAAAACAGCTGTCGAAGCCCGCTTCATTTTCCAATTGTTCGCGTCCTTACAAAATTGTTATTTAAAGTATTGTTGTTTGTGAATTGTTTTAAACAATCTGTATTAGGAAAGTAAAACGGACCAGTCAATGGACCAATCAAAACAGGTTCTGCGGGACTATTGCGGCGACGGCAATGGAACCTGCACGTCGTCCTTGAGGGAGATAACCTTGATCGAAACTGTCACCAGCTTCCTGGAAGAGAATGGCGCAGCAGAAATCGACAGGAAGGTGCTGCGCAAGCTGGCCGAGGCTCTGTCCAAAAGCATAGACGAGTAAGTACGAAATGGAGTATATTTCCAAGACCAGTAATATCTAAATAAAGAATAACTCGTATTTTGGTAACTTTCCCCGAGTGCCGAGCAGATGATGGGCACATGCTACTGCGATGGTGCCCACTGTGATCTTGACTGAACGCTCTCGGCATGAGTTCGAAGCAGCCGGAGATCCGAGCGTTCTGCCTCATTGGGGGAGGTCTGCTCACCAACACATAGCTCCATATGTACGTGCATGGGTGATGTACTGCTGCTAACCCACCCCAAAAGTTTTTGGGAGAGCAGTAGCCTGACATCTGCACTGAGAAATATTTGCAGACACTTTTAGAAAATATGCCTGTACATAGCATTAGATTATTCCGAAGGATGATTCAAAATCCTTCTTAAAATCGGTGAGAAATATGTTTTGTAATTTTAAGATTAAATTATACTGCCAATTTCTCACTGTGCACTACAGCGTTTATTCCGCAGTGGGAAAATGCCTGACATCTGGCAAGCGGAGGCATTTCCCTTTCGGAGCAGATGAGTCCGAGTTTTCCTCCGTTCGCTCTCGCTCGTACGGCCTCTCAGCTGTACGGCGTACTTGCAGTCAGTTAAGTTCTGGCTTTCGGTTTATTTGGACGTACTATCAGGAGCATTTTCCGTTTATTTTGCTTGCCTCTCGCCTATCAGTCGTGCCATATACACACACACCCATACCCATATGTAAATAACAGAAGCAATCAGCGGGTCAAGCGGTGGACGTGTGTTTGTGATTGTACAATAAACATTAAGATATATAAGTGCAATTGTTTATATTGCCATTGAAGATACAAAGATACAAAAGTGATAGACAGATAGATTGATTTGCTGTACATACTGCTGTGGATAAATGATGCTGAGGATGCTGGTGGTTCTCAAGTGAAACGAACCGAAGTATATAGCTCGGATGTACTACACAATGTAATATATACTTGGGACTAATGTGGCTGTATTAGTGCGCTATAGTGTTTTTGTTGTTGTTCGTTTGGTGTGGCTATGTCGCCAGCGATGCTGTGGCTAATTTTAGTAGCGGAAAACTATAGAAATTAATTTCGTTGTGGAATTGAGAGAGCATTCCTTAATGAAATTATAAATTCCAAATATTTCAACCAGCGGCGGTGGAAAGTCCGGGCTATCTGCGTCTTATCACACTGCAGTTGTGTCTCATATTTGTTGATGAAATGGAAGCACACTCACTGGCAGACACACACACGTGCAAGCCCACGTCGGGGGTCATTTACTCACAAAATTAACCCCTATGGTGGTAACAGGGAGCACTCTTTGTTGCCATTACAAAACTGCATTCCTCCCTACCCTTGAAAAAAAGCATCCTGTCTGGATAAGTACAGTGTCGGTGGATATTTTCAAAATTATATCTAAAATTTATATATTATATTTATTATTGTGGCTAAGGAGTATGATTAATTGAGGTCTTGTTTAAAAAACCCTCTTAAAAGCTTATTTTATCTTCTATTAGACATCATATGATACAGAAACCTTAAAAGATTAGTAATTATATGAATATTACCGCATTTTCGATGTAATTTTAATCAAAGTTTAGTAATAATAAATCATTTTTGATAGAATTCAGGTTTTAAATGATTGTTAATGTGGTTTTTGGACTAAAAAGGGCTTACATATGATTCAAAAATTAAAAAATTACAGTTTAAAGAACCTTAAAAGATGATATACAGACAAATAAACATATTATTGGCAGCTGCAATTAATTTCGAAATTAAGAACAAGGCTGATGTTCATTGTGCTTCCCTCCTTGGGCTTTATAGCACTTGCCTCCGCCTCTCGATATCCGCATATTCGGGCCACTTCTGTTTATTGTTATTGTAGTTCCTTGTTGAATGTAGCAGGCGCCTTTGTATGTCATTGGGCATAGTTTGACACCCACTAGAGACGCGCCAGGTCGGCAGGTAGAGCTAAGTGTGAGGTGAAAACGGGCTGTTTACTGCACCTACCTGCAGTCTGAAAGGCTCTAAACAACAGGGTTCAGGTGATAAGTAGAGATGTACATGTGCCAGCCTGTAGTCCATGAGCCACCTGTTGTGGGCCGACCTGTAACTATAAGCCATTGATTTTCATTACCACCATAGTAACCATATACCGAGAGCCAAAACAAATGGTTCAGTAGGAAAATTCTCACCCGGTGGTGAACAGTTTGCATTTTCTATTGCGGTCGCCTTTCTGCAGTTTGGCGACTTTTGCAGTTTTGCTCAATTCCCAAAATAAATTAAAATATATCCGCTGCTGTGTGTGTGCTAGTTTGCAGCCTCCTCAGAAGATGTGCAGCAGCGGGGACACATGTGCCGCATGTCCCCCTGCCACTTCCATCGGCCCGTACCCAGACCCTTTGAAGCTTCTTCCGCTCTACGGCTGGGTGCTCCTGATTGCACGTTTGCCGGTACATCAGCCAGGCGGCAGCCCCGTCATGAGTCACGACTGCCCCGTGGAAGACGTGGCGGATACGTAACGAAGTCTGGCGTGCGCCGCTGAAGTATTTAGGGAATAAAGCCAAGAACAACAGCAACAAAAACAAGTGCATCGGCCAACGGCGGTGACGTGTCCGCCTCGAACAAAATAAAAAAACTACAAACTAATTAAATCTCAAATTTAGAGTCTGAAGTGAAACAAATCCACAATTAAAAGATTGCAAATGCTAAGTGAAAGATAAGACATGGCGGGGATATTTCGATCTACCTCTCTGAACAACTCGAATGACGCCCCGGGTATCGGTTCGCCGTTCAAACGCTACTCACTGAACGCCCACAATGGACCCTTCTGGTAAGTTCCATGTTCTCCGCCCGAGGGGGGGCTACTGTACGTAATCTATACTGGGTTCTGGGTTAATTGGTACACCCACTTCCCCGTTTCACGGCGGATTTGAGGCGCGGAAGTGTAATCCCATCCATTTCGACTTGTGGTTTTTGGAAGTGCGGTCGCTCGAGTGTGACTTGAACTGAAATTCAGTTCACAGATCGATTTGCCAAAAACAAAAAGAGGTTAATTGCCATTGGGTGTGTCCGTAATGGAAGATTGGAGAATCTTTACCTTTAATTGAATTGTAGAATACAATCCACTGTATTTTATGGAAGATCTATCATTTTCACGCCCGGCTGGGTAACTGAGATCAGTTTCTTAATTAGCCGCTGGATTTGTATTTGGATTTGAATTTGACGATCGTTTCCAGTTCCAGATTCAAATAAGGAAGAAGTGTCATTAGGTAATGATAGATGCCAGGCACAAAGTGCATCGTAGACACCAAACCTTGTTGCAGTGTCCGTCTATTTTCCAGTATTTATTACCAATTTAAGTTATAGCCCGGGCCAAATAATGTAAACCGGTTTCGGAATCGAATTAAGCGCTAGAATCTAGCCGCCAGAATGTTTAATGATAGACGTAGATACCTTGGCGGTCGGAGTTGGAGAGTCGCACTTCGTGACTGGAACTCACTTGGAATGGCCGGATCACCGGGGGTATTGAAAGTGAGAGTGCTACTGCTGGGCTTCCTCTTTCAGGGGATTTCCCTACTGGCCGTTCGCCTGAAGCCCTGCGACCTGGCTGGCCAACTCTATATATTGGATGTCCCCAAGTCGGAACTACCTCTCTGGCTCTGCATTGCGGACTTCGAGAGCCGCTTCAACACGCATGTCGTGGGTCAGGGAAATGCGGATGGCTCCCGGGACTATGGGATCTTCCAGATCAGCGATCGCTTCTGGTGTGCTCCGCCCAACAAGACGGAGTACTACGCCTTCAATGACTGCAACGTGAACTGCTCCAGTCTGCTGAGCGACGACATTACCATGTCCGTGAGGTGTGCCCGGCTCATCCAGAGCAGGCAGGGCTGGTCGGCCTGGTCGGTCTACTCGGAGTTCTGCAACGGAACTCTGGACGCCGTGGATGAGTGTTTCCAGCCAGCGGACAATTCCACAGACTGCGAGCAGTCTACCGAGCTGGCGGACGACGAGGTCAGAGGTTGCTAGAAGAGGGCCGGCCTGCCAATTATGTCATCACTGCCGAAATATGTGAATTTTTTTATGCGAAATTAAAATGATAATTACCGTTTATATTCGACTTGTTTGCGTTTTTATTGCCTGCGTTCGCCGAGGTCTGACTCCGAGGTTCAATTCAATTAACAGATTTCCTCTCTTTACTTTCCAGCACCAGTCCAGGGGCCTTGCAAGATGTCACCATGGAGAATTCATGTAAGTTTCGAACGAATCGTAGTAGACTTTGAATACAATTTCAGGCGATATCCGATAGGGTCAACAATAATGAAAGTCACAAACAATTAGGGTTTCGTTTTGGCAACACACACCAAGAGTTTTCTCAATCAATTCGCCTTTATATATTTTATATGTGGTTATGCCCGAGGGGCTAAAAGATTAAAAACGAAGCCATGAGCAGGAATCCATCGTCCAACCCGCAACGGCGGGTGCCATTCAGATCCTCTTCCGATTTTCAGTGTAGTTAGCCAAACGATGGATATCCCCTTGCCGACTGAAACTAAACTTCTTCCATTGTCTTGCAGATGCCAGTTTTGAAGCAAATCGACCCCCGGGTGGCAGCCACTCGCCCATGGCTCTCCAGGGTCGGTCGGTGCGTGAGCTGGAGGAGCAAATGTCGACGCTGCGTAAGGAAAACTTCAACCTGAAGCTGCGCATCTACTTTATGGAAGAGGGCCAGCCTGGTGCCCGATCCAACCACATTGGCGAACCCACATCCAAGCAGCTGATAGATGCGAAGATACAGGTCGAGGTGCTGCGCAAAACCATTGAGGAGAAAACGGAGCTCTTAAGGGAGGCCGCCCGGGCCATTACAGATCACGAGGAGATTCAGCGCAAGGCGGAATTGGAGAGTCAGACCATGATCGAGCATCTGCAGCAACAAATACGCGGCTATGAGGTGAGATTACCGCATATACATACACCATTTCGGATTAAAATGTAATCCCTTACAGGCTGCGGCCAGAGTTGTCCATCCAAGTGCTGCGATCGACGCTGAGAAGCTCATACGTTTGGAGCGAGAAGTTCACAGGCTGGAGAACGAGCTGCAGGAGGCGGATGTGCGTCACAAGGCAGTCAAAAGCCAGATGGAATTCGCGCTGGCCGAGCGCCTGGACACCGTGATGTCCTGTGAGGCCAAAATCGAGGAGCTCGCCATCAAGAATGCCGAGCTGGTGGAACGCCTCCAGAGCCATTCAGAGTCTAGCGATGCGGCCCATGTAAGTACACATTGTCCTTTAACCCTAAGAGTAGCTTGGACTTTTGGTGGTTGCGGGGCGGGGCGGAGTAATGGGATTTCTATTCCCCATACCCTAAACCCTATCCCACTTAGAAGACCATTGCGCACCTAAGGGCCGAAATAGGGGGTTGCCAGGATGAGAACAGACGGCTGACGAGTGCCTTCAATGCGGCGGAGTCGGAACTTAAGCGGCAAAACGATTCGATGAAGGAGGCTTCCGAAACGCTGAACATCCAGCTTCAGTCCATCGAGCTACTGGAAGTGAGTCTGTTTCTCCATCACCAAATTCCTTCCTCACCTCCTCCTAACCCTACAACCCTAAGAGCAATATTAAGCACAAAGATGCCAGCTACAGCCGGCTGATGGAAAGGGTATTGGACTTAGAGGCGCTGACAGACAGGCAGACCGCTGAGTTGGATACGTTGAAGCAGGAGACTCAGTACTACCGCGATCTTTCCGAGAGTCTGCAACAGAAGCAGCGGCTCGAACGCGTGGCCATTGTGCCGCCGATGCGCACGATGGCCGATTCCCGTGATGGTTACTCATCTTCCTACTCTATTGACCGTAGTGGGAGCAGTTCCTCGTTGTCCTCTAATTTCTCGTCGCTCACTGTCCTATGTGGCAGAGGCGGCCCTATACGCGAGAGCCTCTCGCAGTGGAGTCTTGCCCAGGTGATCTTTCTTACCGACCCGAAAGTCCCCCTCCTCCAGCTCCTAAACAATAGTCATCGCCCACAGCTACAGTACCTGAGGCAGATGCACCAGCCATATCCTCTGCCTTGGCAACCTTTTCCCGTGAACCGGCTACCGATCCACCTATCCACGAGTATTCACAGCAGTCAGTGGCCGCTATTTCCCGGAAGACCTGCGACGCTGCTCGCTGTTGCTGCGCCCAGCACCGCCTACTTCAAATACTCGCTGCCAAATTTGATTGGGTCCCAGCGGCTCCTTCTGCAATATGGCACTTCGCCCTCAAACTGACCTTTTTGTCGGTGCGGTTGCAAACCTGCCTGTTGAGCACCGGCATTCCGATGTATGTGGACCGCCAGGGGGCTACCTCCGCCTCTGTCAGGATCGTGCTGACCTCGCTGCTATGTCCGAACTGCCGAGGGACACATCTGGACGAGCGCAAGCCCCTGATTGGCAATTCACCTGGGAATGCTATAGTATAGAAGTATCGTTCCCTGTTTTCGGTTTCGTTGATAGTTACAAGTAGACTGGACGGATCCAAAGATTGTTTCGCATTTTACTCCACCGCAACGATGTCACTCCCCAGCGACATCGACAAATTTTTGGTTAAAGTGTATTAAATTTGGTTTGATGCCTTTGAGGCCACGTCCCGATTGAGTCACTTTTGTTACATGTGTATCCGCTATTAAATGCCAAGCTTAGCATAAGCCTAAGATACTCTGTTTTGGTCTGGGTTGGTTTGGAAGCTTTAGTTACCTTTTCTTAACGTTTTAGGACAAGCGAGACCTGGGCGCCCAGCTGGCGGACAAGATGTGCGAGCTTCAGGATGCCCAAGAGAAGCTGAAGGAGCGGGAGCGCATCCACGAGCAGGCCTGTCGCACCATCCAGAAGCTGATGCAGAAGCTAAGCAGCCAAGAGAAGGAGATCAAGCGGCTGAACCAGCAGCAGAAGGAGCAGTCGGTCAACAAGGAGGTAAGCGTGTATGGAATTTCTTTATCCAACCATCACTACAAGATAATGTCTCCCAGAACGACACCGTCAAATCGATTGCTTCGCCCTCAACAACTGGCCGATCCCTGAGCGACAACGAGGCCTGTTCCCCGGACATCTCTTCTAGCCTGAAGGACCGTTACGAGCTTAAGATTTCCGAGCAGGAGGAACTTATCAAGCAACTGAAAGCAGAGGTTAAAAAGAAGACCACCAACCTGCAGAACCTGGTCAACAGGGAGCTCTGGGAGAAGAACCGCGAGGTGGAGCGCCTCACCAAGCTTCTGGCGAATCAGGAAAAGTCTCTTCCACAGATCGGTGAAGAGTCTTCCGGCGAAGCTGCCGCTGACCTGCAGCAGTCGTTCTCCGAGGCAGACTACCTACGGGCGGTGGAACGCAACAAGCTGCTGCAACGCAAGGTGGATGTACTCTTCCAGCGGCTAACCGAAGACCAACAAAACTCCGTTGTCATAAGCCAACTGCGCGTGGAGCTCAAGAAAGCCCAGACGGATGTGGAGAGTGCGGACAAGTGGCGCCTGGAGTGCGCGGACGTCTGCAGTGTTCTGACCAACCGCCTGGAAGAACTGGCCGGTTTTCTCAACTCTCTGCTGAAGCACAAGGACGTGCTTGGGGTTCTTGCCGCAGACCGTAGACATGCCATGCGGAAGGCCGTGGATCGCAGTCTGGACCTGTCCAAGAGCCTAAATATGACTCTCAACATCACGGGCACCTCTCTGGCCGATCAGAGTCTGGCCCAGCTGTGCAATCTCTCCGAGATTCTGTACACCGAAGGGGACCTTAGTCAAAAGACTTTCAACTCCCACGAGGAGATCCATGCCGCCAGTTCTATGAGTCCCACCATGGAGAACTTGAAGGCGGAGAACAAGGCTCTCAAGCGGGAACTAGAGAAGCGACGCACCACCGATGGTCAGCAGCAGCAGCGCAAAGAGCGGCGATCGCTGCCACTTCCCAGCCAGCAGTTGGACAACCAGAGCGAGTCAGAGGCTTGGTCGGAGCCGGATCGCAAGGTTTCCTTGGCGCGCATCGGCCTGGAGGAGAACTCCAACAGCTTGGCGGCTCCCGAGCAGCCCGGCAGTGAGTCCGAAAGCGAAGGACGCGCTTGCTCGACTCGCCAAGACCGTAACCGCAACAGCGAGCGCATTGCTCAGCTGGAAGAGCAGATTGCCCAGAAGGACGAACGCATGCTGAACGTACAGTGCCAGCTGGTGGACCTGGACAACCGATATAAGCAAGAGCAGCTTCGTTGCATGGAAATCACCCAGCAACTGGAGCAGCTTCGCGCCGTCAACGAAGCTCTCAAGGCAGATCTGCAAGCCATTGGCTCCCACGAGGACCAGCGAATAGTGGAGCTGCAGAAGATGCTGGAGGCTAAGAGCCAGCAGATCGATCAGTTGAAGCTGGCCCAAAGCACTTTGACAGCCGATGCCCAAATAACCGAGATGGAGTTGCAAGCGGCGCAGCAGCAGATCCAAGAAATGGAGCAACAGTACGCCGAGTCCTTGGATCAGTTGCAGACCCAGCTGGAGAAGCAGAGAGTGGAGGCAATTGAGCAGCTCGAGGAGCACGAGCGCCTGCACCAGGAGGCCCTCGAACGCGATTGGGTGGCTCTGACCACCTACCAGGAGCAGGCTCAACAGCTGCTGGAGCTGCAGCGTTCCCTAGACTACCATCAGGAGAACGAGAAGGAACTGAAGCAGACTTTGGTAGAGAACGAGCTGGCCACACGGGCCCTCAAGAAACAACTAGACGAAAGCACCTTGCAGGCCTCCAAGGCGGTGATGGAGCGCACCAAGGCCTACAACGACAAGCTGCAGTTGGAGAAGCGCTCCGAGGAGCTCAAACAGCAGCTGGAGGCTCTCAAGGAGAAGCAACGAATCTTTCAGCAGCAGCAGAAGCGCGCCAACAGCAGCGATGTCTCCCAATCGGGCTATACCTCCGAGGAGGTGGCCGTGCCTATGGGTGCGGGGGTAGCACAAGCTGCTGCCGGTTCCAATCCAGCTGCCGCAGCGGTGGTGGCCCAGAGGCTGAACAATTCATCTCCGGATTTGGGAATAGAGAGCGATGCAGGACGCATTTCCAGCGTGGAACTGTCAAATGCCCAACGAGCACTGCTCAAGACAGTGGAACTCAAGTGCGAGAAGACCACGTCAGAAAGTAGGTCGGATACATTTCTCAATAATACAAAGAGTAATTTAAATATTTCTCCAACAGAAAACGCTTCTCCAGAGGGAAAGGGCACTGTTACCGCTACAGAACACGACTGCGCCAAGGTAGATCTTGAAAACGCCGAACTGAGGCGCAAACTAATCCGCACCAAGCGCGCATTCGAAGACACCTATGAGAAACTGCGTCTGGCTAACAAAGCAAAAGCACAAGTCGAGAAAGACATCAAAAATCAAATACTAAAAACGCACAACGTCCTGCGGAATGTTCGCTCCAACATGGAAAACGAGTTATAACAATTGAAGCGACGTCCAACATATCAGTCAGCATTAACCTGAGAGGCCATTACCTCCATTCTGAGTTGCTAATTTACCTTATTACCTTACTACCATCATTCTTGCCATTTTAATTTTTTTCTTTGTCAGACAACATTGTATTTTGTTTGATCGTTACTAACTTAATTTATTGTCCAACCATTGTGTTTGTAACGGAACGTAAACAACGAAGTTATTAATACGGAATATACCTATGCATTTTCTGAAGACTGTTCTAGGGAATTACAATCAGTGAATCAATTAATGAAGTATCACACCTGTCCATAGCACCACCACACAAAGTTAACAGAAAGAAACAGTGTGCTGACAAGCTGTATCTAATCATGATCTAATTACCTGTCGCCATCATTCATATTGAATGACATATGTATATTAGACTGTATATATATATATCCTCCTAGTACCTAAACACTAACCAATATTCTCTTAGCATTCTCCCAATATACTGGTCCACTTAACATTAATTTTTTTTGTAATAACCGTCTCCCGTGCACGTGCTGCTTGTTTAATTTATTACTTACTGCTTAAATGCTCTGAATCCCTGATTTCAGTTTACGATCGAAACGGATATTGAAATAATTGTTTGATTTCCCACCACAATCAATGGTTTAACCTCGTTGCCATCCAAAAGCCCCTTGTACAATGTGTAAAAAGTAGTGTGCGGTGTCCGGAGAACCAAGACCTAGAACTTAAGACATTTGTATTTTGTCGTTTAATGAATAAAACATTTAGTTAGAATTAAATATATTTTATGCGTATTTTATTCAAAGTTGTTCCCAAATGTATTTTTAAAAAGTTATTTTGGTCATGGATTAGTTGGACCATGATACAATTATATATGATAATAATAATAATATTACAATTATAATTGTATCATGAGTTGGACAAGATTTAACCTTCACAGTGGGGTATTTTACCCGTATTTATCCAGAAATCCAGGGGAAAAACTGATTTATTTTTTAATAACTTATTTTAAAATAATCTTTCAGGTTTTAAAAGAAACTTAATATAAATGTATTGACTAGACAATTTTAAACTATTCCGCTTTACAATCGGATAAATATTTGAAAAGATATGGCATACGCCTCTTCTGAGGACCCTCTAAAAAATTAAAAAAAAAAATCTCTTAAAATAATAGTGTTTTAAGCTGAGTTTTTTAGTTTACAAAAAAAATATTCTAAGATGCTAATACATCTATGTAAGTGTAGAAATCATTAAAAGTATACCACTCAAGATTAGGATACAAATTATCCAATACATGGGTTTAGAATAAACTAGAAATTGAAACTAACAAGGGGTAATATTACAAAAATTTTAAAAATATTTTTTTAAAATATTGTGTCCTCTTTTTTAAGCGGATTGTATGAGAATTTAACAAAATATAAGGGATTTAATTCAAGGACCAGATAGAAATTGCCCAAGATAGACAAATTTAAAAATATTGATACAAAACTATCAGAGGATCGATCTTGAAATATTTTAAGGTATTCCTATAAAAGATCGAATATTTATTTGCCAAGATATAGGCTTTGTTTGGAAAAACAGGCTTCCTTTACACATTTTGGGTTATCTGGCAAGGGATTATATAAAAAAACTCGGTAAATCAATGCGATAATTAAACAAGAAAGGAAAGCTAACTTCGGGCGGAGCCGAAGTTTATATACCCTTGCAGTTAAAACCGGATATATATCGCAAAAATCGGATATAGTTGGCCGATCCTTATGATTACATCATAATAAAACCAATTTACTAAAATACAAAATCTAAAATAAGTCCCAAACTTCTATCTTAAAAAAAATACGAAAGTTGATATTTCTACCAAGTACCATTTCCGATCGTTCAGTTATATGGCAGCTATAGGATATAGTCGACCGATCCTAATGAAATTTGGTAGGTCGGATCAACTGGCCAATAATAGAATCTGTATTAAGTTTCAGCTTTCTATCTTCAAAAACACGAAAGTTGGGTCATTTCCGATCGTTCAGTTATATGGCAGCTATAAGATATAGTCGGCCTTATGAAATTTGGCATGTCACAATAATTTGCCAAATATAGCTCTCATGTCAAATTTGAACTCTCTAACTCTAAAAACACCAAAGTTATACCATTTCCGATCAATCAGTTATATGGCAGCTATAGGATATAGTCGGCCGATCCGGGCCGTTCCGACTTATATACTGCGTGCAAAGGAAAGAAGGGTGTGTGCAAAGTTTCAAGACGATAGCTTCAAAACTGAGAGACTAGTTCGCGTAGAAACGGACAGACAGACGGACAGACGGACATGCTCATATCAACTCAGGAGGTGATCCTGATCAAGAATATATATACTTTATAGGGTCGGAGATGTCTCCTTCACTGCGTTGCACACTTTTGGACAAAATTATAATACCCTCTGCAAGGGTATAACAAATGTATCAGGCATGCTCCGGTTTTCACTTTCGGTTTTCGTTTTTGTTTTGGGACCAAAACCGAGATTTTCGTTTTTAGGTGCTCCGGTTTTCACAAGTTTTTAGTTATCGTTTTGCTATCGAAACGTTTCATTTCTCATAACTTCTTGCTGCCGAAACAGGTGATTTGAGGTTTGGTCAGCAGCAAACAACGCGAAAAATGCCTTTTTTTATATTCAATTGTATCTTTCGTAGCCAAAAGAATTAAGGGGAAAAGCCAGAAAAGGCAAGTTAAGGGGGTGCCACCTTTTCAATGGATTTCATTTTCATTTCATTCCGGTGTTTTCAACAATTATTTTTATACACTTTTAGCACATAACTAATTAAATTAAATTAATTAATTTTTAAAAAACAAATTTTACCCAATTTCAACAAGTTTATCGCCATCCATTTGATTATACAAGTATTTTTAACTTGCTTTTTTATTCTATCAAAAGTATGGCAGCTTAGGCGATAACTTATGGTGTCGGACTTATCGGTCGTTCACCAAAACGATAATTGTTGTTGCCGACGGCAAAATTTGATATCCAAATTTGAGGTGGGGTCAGAAATTACTCGTTTTAAAAATAATTACAAGCCCAATTGATCGTCTGGAGATCTTAAAAGAACGACAATAAACCAATAAGTCAACTACTTTTTCGTTGACTTTTTACAAATTTTTTCGTTTTGGAATTCGGAAAAATCTTGTGAAAGTGAAAACGGGAGCACCAATTTTTTCGTTTTCAAAACGAAAACGAAAACCGCAAGTGAAAACAGGAGCATGCCTGACAGGCTGTGTTTGGGAAAACATGCTTCCCCTTCACATTTTGGGTTTTCTGGCAGGGAATTATATCGAAAAACTCGGTAAATCAATGTGATACTTCAAACCAAAAAATGTATTCTTAAAAATATGTTTCAATTTAATTTACTGCTAAAAATTATAGAAGGAACTTACAAACCCCATTATTTATCAGTGCAGTGTAACCAAGTGGCAACCCCAAGTGTAACGGCTTTTAGTTGCAAACAGCTGATTTTTGCAGTGGTACCGGACTCTTTTTAACTTATTAAAAAAATGGCAACCGTGCCGCATAGTCGCTAAAAACAAAGCTTTAGTTAAGTAAATAAAAAAAATCTGAGTCTGGTTTGCTGTTGAATGATAAGAAGGGTTCACAAAAAGCCTAAGCTCGAAGCGGGCTAGACGGTGGGATTTGAATAGTTTCTTATCGCAAAAGTTGTCGCATTGTTTACTTGCTTATCAGTTGGTGGCCATTATTCATTGTGCTCTTAAATAGATTCAACACATTCAGAATATATACACACATATGTGTATATAGTTCTAGTGCATTTATAGTGTTGGAATATATGGGCGTTGCATTTATGTTTGCTGACATAAATGTTTATCCATATTCCGGGAACTGAGTAGACCGAGTGCGTGAAAATAGAAGCCAAACAAATCGCGCTTTCTTGGCGTTTTCTTTAGTGTTTCTTTGCGAACGCCGTCTCGGATGTTAGTTCACCAGTTGCGCACCTGGAAGCGATGCCCTCCCTATCACGCCTTCGTCTGTCCTACAGACGCAGCGACTACGCCGCCGGATCCGGTCTCCTCAACACCTGTGAGTATTCTTTCCAAGCCCATGCAAGCCCTCTAAGTTCTTACTTTTAAACAAGACGGTTAATGTTATTACTAAGCGGTTAGTCTTAGACTTAGTCATGTACTAATCTTTAATATTTTAGGCTTTCAGTGAACCACTTTTGTTCAAGTTCTGAAAGGGCCTTCTAAGAATATATGTACACCTGCCTTCCAATTATTGATAAACGCATTCTTAAATCTTAGACAGTCTCAATAAAAAGATAAGATAGGAATTATTACACCTGGATACTAAAACAGTAGCAGCTAAAAAAAATAGGAAATATAATAAAAAAGTTTGTTACTGGCCCATGAGGGGATCGAACCCGCGACCTTCGCGTTATTAGCACGACGCTCTAACCAGCTGAGCTAATGGGCCGTGTTTGTTTCGGTCGTCCAAAAGCTTTTTACGTTACCTCAGGGGCCATCCCCTAGCTGTGTTGCATACTTTACCATGTTTTGGATTTGACGAGGAGGACGAAATGTTAAAGCAATCCCATTCTCATAGAGGGCCAATTTATCTGACAGTTTATTTAGTGGATGGCCTACATATGCGCGTGTATTCCTCGACGACATATATACGATTTTTGAAAACTTTTCACGGTCCCCGGTCCCTGGCCCCTTTCCGTTGCCCCTGCCCTTTAAGCGAAAGGCTCTTCGGCTCGTAAACGAACCAAAAAGGCGAACGGGACGGGACAGGGCAGAACTGAGCAGGGAGGAGCTGGAGCTGCGAGTTGTCCTTTTATAACTGTATAGGATTCGCAGTTGGCTTTTTGCTTCGGTTCGGTTTGGACGTGTTTCTCGGATGCGGTGGCACTTGGATGGCCCTCGCCAGTGCCGTGGGAAATCGTTTCTAAAGGCGGCAAGGACTAGCCCGGACTAGTCGTCCATCCTACGGCTCTTATTTTTCATTTCTGCGTGTTTGTTTTCGCAATTTCCCGCGTAAACGTAATTGAAGAGGTGTAAAGTCTCGTTTAAGCACTGCAGCTGGCCACTTGAAGCCGTGCCAGTTCGATAATTCGAAGGTTTCCGCTTTAAACAAAGCCCTTAATTATTTAAACTGGCACAGATTCGAGGCGAGGGCGTCGGGAGTTTCGGGCACTTGATACTACTTGGTATCACCAGATTTGAGGATTCATTCGTGCTGCTCAGCTGCATATGCGTGACAAACAAACTCCATTAGCCTGTGCCCCTGAATGTCAGAAAATGCAATGAATTTTTGATGTTCCGCAGCCCAAAACAGTCCTTTAAAATCGCTTGACTAATGGCGGCGTCTGGTTCGTCAGTTGTTCCGGTTCTCAACACCTGTCAGAGTCAAGGCCCCCTTAACCCATTGGGAATGTGAATTTCGGAAACGGAAATAGCCACCCGACAGAGAGACGGATAGCCGGATAGACGGATAGACGGAAACGGAGGCCATGAAACCCCCCACCAAGTCAGAGGTTAAGCGCCTTACATAACCGCGGCGGTTCGAGATTACCAGAAAAGCGGTTAGCAGCCCACATGTGCCTTTCGAGTGCCTGCAGACCTCATTGAATCCTGACCAAGCAGTGCCTTAGCTAAGATGTCGGGGAACTATCAGCGCCAGAGCCTGGAGCTGCGCAGCCCGGACAACGGATCCGTGGACGATGCCGATGGCCGGGTACGCAACTTGTTGGGCTCCACGGCCAGCCAGCGGCGGCGTCAGCAGCGCGTGGCCCAGCAGCGCCAGGACTCCTGGTTCCGGCACTCGATGCCGCCAGCCATTAACCGCGACTTTGAGTCGCTGGAACACCTCACACCCCGGGTCTCCGACGGGCTCGACGAGCAGCTGGCGGCCTCCGTGTCCCACAGCGTCCACAGCGGCGGAAGCGTTACCCTCTGCGGACGCGCCGATCACTCCAGCATCCACCTGAACAGTGCCAACAGCAACCTGGGCTTCATCGACTCCGACACCCCGAACACGCCGGTGACCCCCGTCTCGGGCCTTCAGCCAGCACCTGCCTCGGTGTCCACATCGGCGGCTGGGACTCTCTCCTCGCGACGCCGCTCCGGCTACCGCAAGGACTCCAAGGGCTCCATCCTGTCGCGGCAGAGTGGCAGGAGTCGCGTTTCCGTTCTGGCCAACCGCGGACTGCGGATGACCGCCTCATTCCTGCGAAGGAAGCGCACCGAGTACGAAGGTGAGTGGGATGGTCTCTGCTTCCCCTAGGCTAGTCCAACCATCTGTAGATTTTGCTAGCATCTGTGCCAGTGTCGCCACATCCGTTTTAAATCAATATACCAGGCGCCAGGAAGTCTGGACATTGGTGGAGCCAGTGCCAGCAGGGGATGTTCTGTTGAAATGTGCTCTGTTGACATTCTAGGGACTTTCTTATAAAAAATATGTATTTGTTTTAGTTCTCTTTAGTTTATCGTCTTTGAATATCAGGTACCTGCTCTATCTGAACTTTTAAGAACACTCTCTTTGATTTTTATACAAAAGTGACAAGAAGTTTGCTTGGTTTGGCTGGAAGTTGTGCCAAAATATAATAATTACCTTACAGAGGAGGGCTGAGACATGACGGAGAATAAAGTTTCAAGTTTTGGGGAAAGTTTGGCCACCAAGTTGTGTTTCGTTCTCATCTTTTTGTTAAGATTTTGCAGAGCTATTTTCATATCGTAAATATTTATAATTTTTGTATCAAAATACTTGTAATAACTGCTGTTGAATCACTGCTGAATCATAGCCTTATTAATGAATTCAAAACAAAACCAAGATTGACCTTTAAAGCGAGTACAACCCCTCAACAAATTAAATACAATATCTGAGAAGTAAGCCCTTTTCAGATATGTCACCGAGTACCGAGTATACTGAGTATGCAAACGTTGCTTGCTGGCTTAGCAGAGGGGTTCCTCCACCCAACCGGCCTCCTAACCCCCAGTGGAGTGACCCAGATTGCATGTTCTTGGGTAGCACGGCCCACAGGAAGGGCACGTCCTGCTGCCGCATGTGTGGCATTGGGAACTCAAAAGTCGCTGCTGTTGAGCAGTCAAATGAGCGGAAACGGAATAAAACGAACTGCAGCTACGACTGAGTTTAATTTTAATGAAAATATTCACTTGACTTTTGCCTAGATTCTAGACAGTCTTTTGGGCTTGCAGGATCCATGTCCGCAGCTCCGCCACATCGGCGTAGACGCCGGGGTACTTGGCCGCGGCACATTCCACTCCCCAGGAGACGACTCCCACCAGCTGGCCACCAGATACCAGTGGCCCGCCAGAGTCGCCATTGCAGGAGTCCTTGTTGGCTATCGCCGCGCAGATCATGCTCTCCCGGATCCTCGATCCGTAGCTGTAGGAGGAGCTGCCGCACTGCGAGCGTGACACTATCCGGGTGTCGATGTAGTTCAGCGTCGAGGTGGAGGTGTAGCTATTGTAGGCGATCTTTCCCCAGCCCGTAACTGTGGCCGCTGCTCCATTGGCGGGGCTGACGGTGGCCAGGGCGATGGCCTTGATGGTGGAGCCGAAGGTTAGGCTCGACTGCAGACGCAGCACTGCAATATCGTTGACCTTGGAGGCCGTCTTGTAGCCCTCATGGGCCTTAAAGGCCGCCACCTGGACGAGAACTCCTCCGTAGGAACGTCGGTTAGAGCCAGCTCTAATCCGGAGCACGGAGGCTGTGATCGGAGACTCGAGGCAGTGGGCCGCGGTCACCACGATGGTGTTGCTGATGATGCTGCCTCCACAGTGGTGAGATCCCGAGGTCTGAACTGAAACCATCCACGGATGGTTCTCAATTGAGGCCGCTACTCCCCCTACAATCCGGCCATCCAGGGGTGATTGGGGCTCCAAGCCGGTGGGTATCGCAGCGCCATATCCAAGGGCCAGGAAGCCCAGAAGAGCAACTATCTGGAGGAGGTACATTTTAGTGTGGTGTCTTGGTTTTAGTCTCTCGATGGGCAACTGCCGGTCATCCAGGGCCTTTTATACCATTCCGGCTTGCGATTAACTTGAGGCCCGTGCGGATAACCAGAATCAAATGACAGGGTCGTATATTACTATCCGTATCTGTGGCTGATTGTTCGACAATTGTCTTCAGGTGCGGGCCGGAATGTGGCTGAATGTGGTAGTTACATTCCAAATTTCGTGGCATAGGTCAGTTGCGGAGCTTAGCCTTATCGGGAACGAGTTGTTTTGACGTCCCACCAGGGCCATAATCCTCGAAGCCATTTCTTCTCCGCCTGGCTGGAAATTACCCAATTGTAAATATTTCAAATGCAGATTACTCCTTCCGCCCCAGCAAACAAAAGGCGTTGTAAACTGCCAGCCCACTTACGTTGGGCTTTTGCCCCTCATTGCATCCAAGGGCGAAATACACGTAACAGACCAATGACAATTTAATGCAGAACACACAGAGTATATATACTTATTAATACAAATCATGAATAACCCACTGGTCCGCTGACTCAGTTTCCTCTCCGCCCAGCACATAGGAAGTGCATTAAGCTCGAATGACAGTCCCCAGTCCAGCGTCCACAAGGACGCTAGTTTTATTTGGTCCCAATTAGGTTAAAAGTGTCACGTTCGGTTTACAACTTCCGCCGGCTGGCCCATTTTATAAATGGAGAGCGAGTCATAAACGTGGCTAGGTCTCGGTGTCCTCTTCGTCCTGGATTTGGCATTTGTGCTGAAAGAGTGCCTTGAAATATCAGAAAATTCACGAAATTAACTATCGTCCACTAACCATATCGTTTTCGGCCAGAAGACACCTTCTCCAGCAGGTCATTTTGTCCGAATAGGCATAGTACTGCACCACTCGGTTGAAGGTGACGTGCTTCTTGGGCTTCACCGACTCGTCCCCGTCTTCATCTGAAGAATTCGGGTTCTGCTCTTTTAGAGTCAAAATGGACTTGGTTAGATTGGTTTCTAAAGATGATTCAGACATCTTTCAAATTAGTAGAAAAATATAATTTAAAAAATATACATATATTCAGCGGAGCTCAAAGTTGATTTATGTTGGATGATAATTCAGCTTTGAATGAAAAATACACAGATTTTAGTAATGCCTTGAAAATTTAAGGCAACTTTGTTTCTGAAAAATAATGTTTCTTTGTTTCTAAATCAGAGGTCGGCACGGCCCTATCTCGGGGGCATAGGAAATTTCTCTGCCCGAGCTCTGCCACACACACACAGTATACATGTGTGAAACGTCATGCACACAGCCTACTTTCTGCTATTCGTTACTAACACTAATGCGGTAAAATCATATCAATGTATTGGGGTGCCGATCACTGTTCTAAATTGTTGTTTTTGGAAAAAAGTTTTCAAAAAACTATTGTCAGAAGTGGGATTCGAACCCACGCCCTCAGAGAGGACCAGAACGCTCATACACTTTCGTTCAGAAAGCAAGATTCTACATCTTGAGTCTGGCGCCTTAGACCGCTCGGCCATCCTGACACTTGAGATCCATCCGCCCGAAATTGCACCCTTAAGTAATGGGAGGAGAAATCGGGGAAAATAAAGAGACCAATAAATTGCAAGTTTCTATTGTCTAAACGCCATTTTCCACTCGGTGCGCTGATAAGATCGCCCTATAAACCGTTTAGCTTGATGGCCACAGCAAATTAAGATACCCCACACGCGCAGTTTGAGTTTCGGGGGGAGGGGGATGGGTAATTCAATCATCCTTGATTGCAAAATAAATTGACATTTTGCTGGGCTGGCTTGGAAGAAATGGAGCACGTTAGATCATCCTTGTGACATCATCTCAGCAGTACTTGGTATCCCGACGTGCACGGCGTGAGATAACATTAGCAGCCAGCTAACCAGGCCCATAATTGAGTGGAACCTTTATTGGCAGTAGTTTGTCTGTGTCGGTTTGAGAAAGTTTTCGCGATATGCTGCCATTAAATAAATGGACACTTTTTTAATTTTCAAAGTGCAGATAAAAAAAAGAAATTCGATGGGGGAAAAAGAAAGTTACTGGCCCATGAGGGGATCGAACCCGCGACCTTCGCGTTATTAGCACGACGCTCTAACCAGCTGAGCTAATGGGCCATGTGAAGCTAGCGGGCAAAATTCGAACTAGAACAAAGCTGTTAGATAACAGTACTAATGTTATTACAGTTCTATGTTATTAATAACATTACAGTTCTATGTGGTATAACACTGTTTTACCGTTCTCTGACTGTTATACATTCTGTTGCGCGCACACAACTAGCGATTCGGACGAGCAACTAGCATATGTCAGGATGGCCGAGCGGTCTAAGGCGCCAGACTCAAGATGTAGAATCTTGCTTTCTGAACGAAAGTGTATGAGCGTTCTGGTCCTCTCTGAGGGCGTGGGTTCGAATCCCACTTCTGACAAAATTTTTTTGTTCTATTTTAGTTTTCTTTTAATTTTGTTTTATTTATTTATTTTTTTCATTTTATTAAAATTAAATTATTTTTGGTAAATTTTATAAAATTGACTTCATACTAAAATAAAAATGTCCAAACACATGCCTAGATTCTGGTTGCTCCTTGGACACCTACTGTCAACATGGCCCATTAGCTCAGTTGGTTAGAGCGTCGTGCTAATAACGCGAAGGTCGCGGGTTCGATCCCCTCATGGGCCAACTTAAAATTTTTGTTTTTAATTAAATTTTTTTAATTGTCCTGTTTGGGCTAGTCAAGTCCTGTCATACCCTTCATTTGTCAGCCTGATAGTGTCACTTGTGTGACAGACTGAGATGTTTGATAACTAATTGCTAGTTGTAGCGACTAAGTTTAGCATGTGGCGTGCATGTAAATCGAGGAATACCATTAGCTAGTGACATAGGGTTACATCTGAGCATGGTGACTAGTTACTCCATGGCAGAATTGATTTCTTTGGGGCAGCCGTGCGCGGTCCGGCAACGCCACGTTGATATAAAAATCAAAATGTACCGCCTCCTTCCCACCACTGCCTGGACGCGCCTCGCAAATACTGATGGCAGTGCGCTCTGTTGCTTGCTAGATGGGCTAGCTGGCTAGCTTGCTAGCTTTCTCATTCGCTTCTCGAATCGTGGAGCAAAAAGACGTGCGAGCGGGCGGCGTTTCGGACCGGTTAACGAGGTCGACGTGTTCTGTTAACGCGAATCGTTACCTGACAAAAGTAAATACTGCTGGATTTTTGAATACTTAGTCAGAGAAACAAACTCGAAAATTCGGGTGATCTCAGTGACGGGTAGTCATCCGTAAATCCCCCTAAATCTATCTGATACCCACAACTGGGGAATCGACTTCCCCAAAGGTCAAATGTAATTATTTGGGGGCCCAATGCTGTACTGCTTAGATGGAACATTTGCTGCATGGACAACCACCGCAACCACACCACCAAAATATAAGTGGTGCCGCGTCAATTGATCGTTTGAGTTTCATATGCTATGCTATATGCTTGAGCTCAATGAAGACCAGCAGCTGTACAATCATTTATACAATTGGAACATACACAGTGAGAAAAACTAACCAACAAGAGTGTCAGGGTAGGGAATATACAATAGAAGTTACCTATACTTTTTAGGGTAAAAAATGAAACCTAAAAGGCCGCCTTAGTGTCCCCCTTTTATGGAAAGTCGATTCACAAGAGAGAGTCTCTTTCGGTTGAGAAAAGATCCGTCTTCCCCTATATATCGTATCTCCGATGTGTCAGGTCGTTATTTTCCCTCGCCTTTGTAAGTTTACAATTGCAATTTGCAATGTAAATGCTGTTTAGACCGGTTTTCCTCACAAAAATCACCTTTTCGTCATCGGTTCCGCTCTCTTATTATTGTGATTTTTTAATTTTCGCGGCTCTTTTCCCTTTTATATAGTACAATAGTACAATATTATCGGGCATTAGCCGCATTCGGGATAGCATGTGTGAAACAATTCGCTGTTAAATTGCATTCGGCTCACAGAAATCAGAGAAATCGCGGGGGCTGCAGATCGGATCGGTTAGTGAGATCCGTTTAGTGCATTATGCCACTGCTGCGGTGTGTTGCACGTCCCCAGCGATACAGACTCTACAGGCCCGAAGGTAAACATTCGTCATCGCTGTGAGAAAGTCGTAATATACTATACGACGTGTATGTATAGTTAATATCTAAATTCCCAGCTGATCTGATCACTATGCTTGCCAACTACCAACTGACCCAACTGCCAAAAACTGCTGTAGAAAGTTGTTTCAAGCTTTTATTAATTTTCGTCACTTTTTCTTTCATTTGCCAAACGAAAACTAATTAATTGACAGGCGAAGGACGAGATGTATACTAACTTGTCTAAAAATAGTCATAAATTAAGAAAAGTGACTTGACAGTTTCGTCATGCCGCCCTGGGCCTTCCATGTAGGTGGAAATTCTACTCGATTTCGCATTTATTGCTATTCCCATGCCTCCCCCCTTGGCACTTACATAAGAACACACCACTAGGTAGGTAATCAAGCCTAGAATTACTTTATAGACTCCCTGTGTTGGTGCTTGGAGGAGGTGTTCCATGGATAGCGCCTTGGCTAAGTAAACGATGACATCTGGGAGGGTGTCCGACCGGTCCGACCCACCATTGGTCGATTGCCAATAATTTCTATCGATTCGATTCTCAATTGTCTGAGGACGTCTTTGTTGAGCTGTCGTCTTGCGGATGTGACTAGTGAGTGGCTCGGCCCGCCCCCCAAATCGGTGACACAGTCAAGCACACTCTGGTGGATCTTACGCTACCACAAGTATCTGTATCTGTTTACCTTTGCTAATGCCCACGATATCTCACAGATAACAAGAGTAACTACGAGCACAGATACAATGCATTGTATCTCTCAGTATCGAGTGACTCGACAAGAAATAATCACCTTAGTGTTAAAAACTGTTTTAGTTTTTAAAGTTTTTGGTGCATATTTTATTTCGAAAACTAGACTTCTCATTAGAATACGAATTTCAACGAAATTCATTTGGATTTATATGAAATCCACAGATAAGTAAATTTGGTTGGAATGTATCCAAAATACTTATTCCTATGCTGGTATTTTTAGAAGCCGTCGTGTCCGGCGGAATAAATTTTTATAGCGTCGCAGAATATACATACATATGTACACTTTTAGGCCCAGACCCCCATTTGTTTCGCAAGATATTTACAGAAACTCGCGAACGCCTATTTGCGTCAGACTCCATAATGGGGTAATACTGTTCCAGGTTACTTCTTGCATTCCCAGATACTGGGACTGCGGCCAATATTGATGCAATTATGGGTAGAGCCGTTGCCTATAAATATTAAAGACTAATTTTCCACTCGGCCGGCAATCGGTTAACCCTGATAACCCGACATATCCTATACTATAGTATATAATTTTTTCGATTTTCTAGCCCTGCCCAGGTGTAATTGCAGGGGTGCGTGTGTTTGTGTGCTCGCCGGTGGCCAAGGCCATCAGGATTTGATTGTCGGTTGGTGGCTAGCATACCACATAGTACCTCCGGTACATATGTTCGCAGACTGCAAGGCATTTGCTTTTCAAGAAAAAAAAAAAACTGGAGCAATCGATAAACTTCAGCGACTCACTCTCACTCTCCCTTGCACTTGCCATTCAGGAATTTCAAATTGAATTCGTAGTCCCCCCCAGTCCCCCCCAGTCCCCCCACCGGAACAGTAACCGGAAAATCCTTTGGCTGTCAGATCCCCCAACGACCGGTTCTAATGACTCTGCGGTTGCCATAATTTTGTTGATGTTTATATTCTGTTCTTGTTCCTTCGGGTGACCATTGGATGTGCCTACATACCTGTATTTATGACCGGGAAGCACGTAACCCCATATGCCCAGAGCACGCATATTGAATATTTCAGTCTTTATCACTAGTTTAGCGCGGACAGCCCCCCAAAAAAGAAGCTTCATTAGCTTCCGGATTTCCGACGTCCGAGGTCGTTGCTCGCCTGCCTTCTTCACCTCCCCGGTCCTAATAATATGGCATTTTAATTCCTTTATGACCAGGCAGACCTGGCGTGTTTACTCGCCGGCACGAGTGGCTGGTCCCCCAGGATGCCCCCGGTCTGTTGTCAAGCCCTAATTAATCCAAAGTGGAGTGTACAGAATATTTTTATGAGCTGTTTGGACGCTCAATCAGGGCAGCTTTTTGAAAAGATTTTTACAACTTTAGAGGGCAAATGTTTTTGTTTTTAGAGATTAGCTTAAATGAAACGTAATTAAATATAACCTTTTGGTTGTTAAAGTTGTGCTGTGCAAGTCTTTCGAAATTTTGAATTTATTATTCATAGTTCATAATTTATGAATAACAAGTGTATGAACTAGAACTCTCGGCCAACTAAGCAGGCATTTGAAAGTCAAACGAAAAACTAATCAAAAAACTGCAAAATGTACCAAATGTCAGTACAACGCCAAATCCCAAGTGCAATTCGCGAAAACTTTATTGCGGTCTTTAAATTAAGAATTAATTAAGAATCGTGTCGAAAACCCTAGATAAGATCTGGAACGACGTGAGTGCAATTAGGTGAGCCGCGGAGCCATGTTAACATGGCAGACCCCGGGAAGAACAATGCACCGCCACCGGCTGGCAGATACTTGGGCGGCCACAACCATGCCCAGAATGCCCAGAACGCCCAGAACGGGCACAATGGCCACAGCCAGCCACAGGCTCAACAGCCACCCCACCGTCCTGCGAATCATCGGAATGCCAACGAAACCAGCAATGATGTGCGGCGACTGTGGTCGAATCTCCAGTCGTGGATGGGCGACCGCATCCGGCGAGTGAGGAGCGAAGTCATGCGCCGGACAGCCACCACAGGACCTTCGCGGGCCGAGGGAGGCTTGGCCGGCGGTGAGGACAACAGACCACAGCGCGTGGACCGGGGAACTCAGGAGCCGCCTGCCTCGGATTCCGAGGCGCAGGCGAGTCCCACGGAGCAGCCACCGGGAGTCACCGAGACGGATGCCAGCATTCAGCACCGCCGACTGTCCTCCACCACCAGGGAAAGTAGGATCTCGCTCAGCTATCTGCTTAGCAAGACCGGAATCAGAAGGAGCAAACACAAAAGAGGTGCTTTGTTTATATTTATTTTTTATTTTTAATATTAAAAGTACGGGTATCTAAATAGTGGAGTATATTCCATTGTTGTGGCACTTGGAAGCTTTTGGTTCCACTGCGCAGGCGTCCTCCTCCTCTTTGTTTACTCTCTCTCTCTCCCGTTTGTCAGTCTTTGTTTTGCTCGCTGCCTTCGCTTTCGCTTTTGTTCCTGCATTTATATGGCGGGCCCCCCCTTTGGGGCAACCACCCCCTCCCGTGGATACGCATGGCTTTCGGTTTGGTGATAAAAGCTCCTCTTGGAATGCACCACCACGCAGCTTTGGTGGGATGTGGGCTAAGCTCAAGGGGTTCCCAACCTGGGCGCCAAGCGATTTGCACCTTCCCCCCCCCCTACACCCATTGCCCAGCTAACCCACCCCTTGTTGTGCCCCTGCCATGTCCTTTGCGAGCTCCTCGGGGCGCGTAGGAATTTATTTCAGTCGTAGTATCGGAGCTCAGGAGAGCGCACGTTGTGGCCAAAGTTCGCAATAAAAACTGGTTCGCCAGCTGTCTCAATTGTTGTTTTATTTCATTTTATCCTTTTGTGCCAGTGCTCAAGGATCTTTGGCAGCAGTTGGTCATAGAAATCCACTGCCAATAGACGCCAATAGGTTCTTGGGAAGGAAGTGCAATAAATCAGTCACGTGCTGGAAACGCAGCCAAGGAAGTTGCGACAAATCGATATCGGATTAGTATTGAACACGTTGCCAGGTGATAGACCCGGAAACAATGTCTCCCTCGACAGTTATCAGGATAACAAAGGATACACCCGTGTAGCATGTAGCAGATAGGACAACTTGGTGGAAAAGAAAACCCATTAATCGTCGTGTGTATACATATGCTAATGTGCGTGCCACAGAGCCCCCAAGAACGGGATGGAAAATATATGTTTTCTTATACGCACTGATTGAAAACGGTAGCGCAGGCGTCCTCCGCAGGACACACTCTTATACCAGCTGTCACGCCCACTTGTGGCTGCCTCTCTCCACCCCTCTGATACGAAGTGCCGTCCATCCTGGGTTTCCCCAAGCGGAATCAGAACGAATCACCAGGCGAGTGCATTGCCTTTGTGCCCGTGGGCGACTGCGACTCTGGATCCGACGAACTACCCGGACCCGGGGAGGAGGAAGCCGGCGGATTGGAGGAGGCGGAGGAAGCGGAAGAGGAGGGGACAGCAGCGGGAGATCGGTTGGGTCACTTGCGGCACCGGATTGTGGCACTACTCCGTCGGGGCACCATGGACTTCCGCAACGTTTACAAGTCGATGCGCATTCGTTGGAGTCGTAAGTTCTCTCGAAACCCCAGCAGGTTTATCAAAAGTTGTATCCAAAATTCCAAAGCCCCCCTTCCCAAAACAATGATTGTCCAGTGCAAGCCCATTGACCCCGTTAACAGCCTGAATGACCAGCTCAAGAAGCACCACATCATCCCCCGGCTCTTGAAATGCAGGCCACGGGAGGTCATCGTTGTCTTGTATCCCTGCAACATCGTGATCAAATCCGGCGCGACACTAGACCTCCCTGAGGTGATCAAGGAGCCCATCATACGCTACCCCTCCGATCCGGAGAAGTACTATACCCTGATCGTGGTGGATCTGGACATGCCCTCGAAGAAGGATTACGTTGTCTGGATGGTGGGCAACATCCGGGGATGCGATGTGGTCCCGGGGCAAACCCTGGTGCCGTACAACAATCGGCAGGGCGCGGAGGGGGACCCCGTTCATCGGATCGTGTTTCTGGCCTACCAACAGTACCTCGAGCTGGATTTCTACGACCAGGACATTCCCAGCCCAGGGCCCGAGGGTCGGGCCAACTTTAACTGCGCCGAGTTCGCCCGGAAGTATGCCCTGGGGAATCCCATAGCCTGCAATTTCTATTTAACGCTCTGGGAATGGCGCTGGACACCAACCTTCCCTGCCGTGGAGAATACCCCATTAAATATGTGATTTTTAGGGGGGGTTTAGCTTTCATTAAAATAAAACATCCTTTCGTGGAACTCATTGTTTTTATTTGAGGGATTTGTGGACTCATTACCGGGCTATCCATCATGTATCGCTCTTATCTCCCCCATTAGTCTATCTAATTGTAATCCCTTTAATTATCATTCCAGATGATGAGGACTTTACCTCCTCGGCCGGCTACGACCCGGACGATGGACAGAGACGTGTCATAAACCTAAATGCCCCGCAGTCCACTAAGTACTGCAATAATCGCATAACGACGGCCAAATATAGGTAACCTAACGCCTTTAACCCCCATTACCAATTACTTTCCCACCGATAAGATAACACTTAACCCGGCTTTGATCCTCTCGGCTTACAGTTTCATTAGCTTTCTGCCCGCGTTCCTGTTCGAGCAGTTCCGGCGGTATTCCAACTGCTTTTTCCTGCTAATTGCCATGTTGCAACAAATTCCGGATGTATCGCCCACGGGACGCTACACCACCCTGGTGCCATTGATGTTCATCCTGTCGGTGAGCGCCATCAAGGAGATAATCGAGGATATTGTAGGATTTTCATAATAGTGCCATCAGTGTGGAGTAAACATTGAGATCCTTTCCAGAAACGCCATCGAGCGGATAACGAAATCAACCATCGGACCATTGAACGGCTGGACAGTGGCTCCTGGGTCACAGTGCGATGGTCGGAGCTCACTGTGGGCGACATCATAAAAGTCACCATCAACACATTCTTTCCCGCCGATCTGATACTGCTCTCCTCCAGGTAATTGCCAACCAATTGATTCCAATTCGAATGGGTATACTACATATATAATTAATAGTGAACCGCAAGCCATGTGCTTCATAGAGACGGCCAATCTGGATGGTGAGACGAACCTGAAGATCCGGCAGGGTTGTCCGGCCACCGCTGGCTTGCTGGAGACCAAGGACCTGCTGCGTCTGGAGGGCAAGGTGGAGTGCGAGCTACCCAATCGCCATTTGTACGAGTTCAATGGAGTGCTCAAGGAAACAGGAAAGCCGTGAGTTATTCCCCTTATTTCCTTGGAAGAAACACTAATCTCTCTCTTGGTTTCCAGGGTCGTTGCCTTGGGCAATGATCAGGTGCTCCAGCGTGGCGCTATGCTGCGTAACACGGCCTGGGTGTTCGGGGTTGTGGTCTACTCCGGCCAGGAGACCAAGCTGATGAAAAACTCTACCTCGGCACCACTGAAGCGCTCCACCGTGGACAAGCTGACCAATACCCAGATCCTGATGCTCTTCATGATCCTCATCTCGCTGTGCATCACCAGCGGTCTGTGTAATCTCTTCTGGACGCGGGAGCACTCGGAGACCGATTGGTACCTGGGCTTGACGGACTTTAAGAGCATGAGCCTGGGCTACAACCTGCTGACCTTCTTCATCCTGTACAACAACCTGATACCCATCTCGCTGCAGGTGACCCTCGAGCTGGTCCGCTTCCTTCAGGCGATCTTCATCAACTACGATATCGAAATGTATCACAAGGAGTCCAACACGCCGGCGATGGCCAGGACCTCCAATCTCAACGAGGAACTGGGCATGGTCAAGTACATATTCTCGGACAAAACGGGCACCCTAACCCAGAACGTCATGGAGTTCAAGAAGTGCTCCATTGCGGGCAACAGCTACGTGCCGGAACGCACGGCAGAGGAGTCGCTGGCGGTGCAGAATATTCTGAGTCGCCACCCGACTTCCGCCGTGATTGAGGAGTTCCTGGTACTGCTTTCCGTGTGCCATACGGTCATACCCGAGCGGAAGGACAATGGCTCCATCATCTACCATGCTGCCAGTCCGGATGAACGGGCCCTGGTCGAGGGCGCCCAGAAGTTTGGCTATATCTTCGACACCCGCACCCCGGAGTACGTGGAGATCAATGCCCTGGGCGAGCGCAAGCGTTATGAGGTGCTGAATGTCCTGGAATTCACCTCGACGCGGAAGCGTATGTCCTTGATTGTCCGAACCCCGGACAACAAGATCAAGCTCTTCTGCAAGGGAGCAGATACGGTGATCTACGAACGCCTAGCGCCCCAGGGTCAAGCTTACAGGGAACAGACGCTCCGGCACCTTGAGGAGTTTGCATCCGAAGGCCTGAGGACTCTCTGCCTGGCGGTGACCGACATCCGACCGGATGTGTACGAGGAGTGGCGTCAGACTTTCCACAAGGCCTCTACAGCCCTTCAGAACCGAGAAAGCAAGCTAGAGGATGCGGCCAATCTGATTGAGAATAATCTGCGTCTCCTGGGAGCCACCGCCATTGAGGATCGGCTGCAGGATGGCGTGCCGGAAACCATTGCTTCTCTGCTGGATGCCGGCATCTTTATCTGGGTGCTGACGGGAGACAAGCAGGAAACTGCCATCAACATTGGCTACTCCTGTCGTCTGATATCGCAATCCATGGGTATAATCATCCTTAACGAGGAGAGCCTGGACGTAAGTGGAAATCTTTGGAGTGTATATTGAATATTCATTATTGTTTCCTTTTAGGCCACCCGGGAAGGCATCCAACGGTACTACGGCGACTACAAGAGCTCCTCGGCCAAGGACGCCAACGTGGCTTTGGTGATCGATGGCACCACCTTGAAGTACGCCCTGAGCTGCGATCTGCGCAATGATTTCCAGGACCTCTGCCTGTTGTGCCGCGTGGTCATCTGCTGTCGGGTTTCGCCCATGCAGAAGGCCGAGGTGGTTGAGATGGTGACCATGAGCACTAAAGCGGTGACCCTGGCTATTGGGGATGGAGCGAATGATGTGGCCATGATCCAGAAGGCCAGTGTGGGCATTGGCATTTCCGGCGTTGAGGGCCTCCAGGCGGCATGTGCCTCGGATTACTCGATTGCCCAGTTCCGGTATCTGCAACGCCTGCTGTTGGTGCACGGAGCCTGGAACTATGCCCGGATTTCCAAGCTGATCCTGTACAGCTTCTACAAGAACGTGTGTCTGTATGTCATAGAGCTCTGGTTCGCCGTCTACTCCGGCTGGTCGGGCCAGATCCTCTTCGAGCGCTGGACCATTGGCCTGTACAATGTGCTCTTCACGGCCATGCCGCCCTTCGCCATGGGCCTGTTCGAGAAGTTCTGCACGGCGGAGACGATGCTGCGGTATCCGCTGCTCTACAAGACCTCCCAGAATGCGAAGCTGTTCAATGTGAAGGTTTTCTGGATCTGGATCTTCAATGCTCTGCTGCATTCGGTGTTCCTCTTCTGGCTGCCACTGGCGGCCTATACGGGAGAAGTTATCTGGAGGGATGGAAAGACTAGCGACTACTTGCTGATGGGGAATCTGGTCTACACGGTTAGATTTGAGAATACTTTAAAGATTAGATCTATATTTCATATATTTCCTGTACTTTTCAGTACGTTATAGTAACAGTTTGCCTGAAGGCTGGACTTATTACCAATTCGTGGACATGGCTAACGCACTTGGCCATTTGGGGCTCCATAGTGATGTGGTTTGCTTTCCTGCTGGTCTACAGCCACGTGTGGCCCACATTCAACCTGGCTAGCAACTTCCGGGGGATGGATATTCAGCTGCTGTCGACACCAGTCTTTTATTTCGGCCTCCTTCTGGTGCCCATTACCACTCTGCTGGTGGATGTGATATGCAAACTGTGAGTAATTGGCATTATCCTGAATGATTAGCTAAATAATTATATCTAATTACCAAAAAGGATACACAACACCGTGTTCAAGACCCTGACAGAGGCTGTTCGGGAAACGGAGATCCGACGCAGCGACATCTCCGAAGTGATGGCCGAGCCGCGATCTTCGTAAGTATCGAAGCAGCGTTGCTCCAGACCTCGTTGTCACGCTTACCTCCTCCGGCGAGGAGGCCTCCATACATACCTCCATATATGTATTTAGTTTTTGTTTGTCCAAAAACGAAAATCGAAACTATATATTTTCAATTTGAATTGTTGCGCATTTGCTGAATCTATATCTACCTATCTATATATTAACTAGACCCCTAAGACGTTGATATATCCTACCCAGTAATCATTCCTATCAACGCCGAATCGAAGGCTGATTGAACATAAGTGCCTGCACACACCACACCCACACACAGTATCCTGCTTTTTGTAGACGTTGCACTTTATTTTTGATACTACGAGTAGTTCAGTTAATTAGTTAATTAGTTTTGGGTCATTTATGCGTTCAACTAAACCAAACTCAACTGCCATGAAGTTCATTCCGTAATCGCCGCACTGCCACGTCCTCCTCGAATTGTGTTTGTTCAACTTTTGATGTTCGTAGTAGTGCTTATAATGCTGTATTTTGTGAAACCAAAGTATACATATTGCTCCATTGGTTCTATTGGCCACTCTACAAAAAATTGCTCGAATCCTACAAAAAACATAACTTACGAATAGAAGACAACGCACCCAGGATGAACACTCCAAACTGGTTTGAAACTACTTTTAAATATACAAGAAATAAGTATAGTCTTTAGAGAATAAATGTACATAGAATTAGAGGTTAACTAAGTTAAGTTGTTGCGGTATTTGCGTCTGACGAGTGATAATTGTGACCTTTAGAAATCGGAGACAGCACACACACATAGAATATGTAAAATACTTGTTTCTATTTAACTATAGACTACCGTTTATGTATTACTCTAGTTTGTTACGCATCTTGTAGACATTGTTGAGCAATTTTGAATGCAATTAAAATTTTAAATTGGAACTACAATTGGATAAGATTTGAAGTTGAGGTCAATTCGCCTTACGCTTTTGTCAGCGCATTTAAAGAAACAAACACAATTTCCAGACTTCAGTCCAGGCTGAAGCAACATGAATCAGAATCAATGGACTAGCCCTCCACATCCACAATCTAAACACGAGTATCTAATGAATGTGTATCCCTAAAATGTAATCTCTCTGTCTTCCTATTTATCCCGCATCACTTCCCCCACGACGATGTGTTACCTCGCCACCAACCATCCACCAACCATTCAAATGATCCATTCCAAAAACCCATTCAAAATCCCTGCACCCATGCGACGACGCCACCCTAGAGACTCGAACCTCGGACAAAACCTCGGCAGGCTAGTACCGTCCAGGCAAGTCCTGCTGACCTACCGGAAGCTTCGGCGCCCAAAAGAACGACCCTCCGCCGATCGAAATGTGAGGGTATCCGCTCCGCAGCCCGGGGACGAGGAGACTACCCTGCGGGTGGTTAACCTGGAGATGGAATCGGACAGCGATAATGCGCAGCGAAGCAGGCAGCGGCAGCCGTGGCGGGGTGGTCACAATCCATCAGCCATCAAGGACACCAGGAGCGCTCCCGGCTCGCCCTTCACCGGCACACTGCACATGTGAGCCACCCGGAGAAGGCAAATCCAATGGAATTATTATTTTTATAGTGTAATGTCGTATCTGATAAGTGTGATGAGTGTGTATGCATTGTAAAGTATTGTAACCTGCATTCCGACTCGGGACTATTTCCCGATCCGCATCCCCAGAGTACCTCCTAAGAATTCATATCGTGGAAACCGAATCATAAATCTTACTCATGGAGTAGCCCTGCGGAGCCCTGTATCTAGGTAGTTAGTATGTGCTAATCAAAACTATTTTGCCAACTGTGATAGTGTCTAAGGAGTAGTTAGCCAGATATATGTATATATATATAGACACACATGTATATTGTATAGGATAGGCCAATAATCAGGGAATGGCTTTTTTGTGAGTGCCATGTGTACATGACATCATTCCCACAAATAACTATTGTCGTATGTACCTATATGTTCTTAGCTATATCTCTTTTTCTATGGCTGGATGTATAATATTGTTTAGACTTTTAAATAAGAGACTTGCCAAGGTTGTACCCAAAAAAAAGGCGATAAAGTTAACGAGAACCCAGAGTCAGAGTGTGTCATATCACCCTCACGAATCTGCTCAGTTCTGTACTAAAATAACCACAAACTGCAAAATAACCAACCGAACTATGCATAATCATCCCAACGTTAACGTTTATGGAATGTGATGGTACTATCCCTACCCAGCCCCCTCCAGACGATACGTATGTATCTGTTTTGAATATATGTATCTATTTGTGTAAACCCGCACCGTCCTCCACAGCCCGCATGCTATTTTATTCGGCCAATGAAATATTTTAATACTAACTGAATGGCTGCTACTTTGATTCGATCTGATCCGACTGATCCGATCTGCTCTCTGCACTTGTACTTACTTTTTAATTTTCTGTATACTTATTCTGTATTAATCGAACACCCCAAACAAAAGCGACTTAACCGATCACACACTCCCACACACACAACCCAACACACAACACCCTGAAACAATATCTAATCAATATATTAATTTAATAAAAAGTCAAAGAGTCAACAGCAAAATTCTGAAAAATGTTTATTTGAAATTTCTCTGAACGTTTTCTGCGTATAATGTTTCAATTCTCTGTGTGCGCAGTACCGCGTATGCCCTGGGATCTATAATTCGGTGTAAGTAGAAATCGTAGAAAAAACGCTGAAACACCCACAACATACACCACAATACACACCATACACACCATACACACCCACTTTGTCACCAACCACAACGTCACTGTCGGGAAAGAATCTTTCAGAAGGATACTGTCAGGGGGAGAATACTGCTATATCGGGGAACCCCAAAACTTGTATAACCTCTACACTTTATTTTACGGACTTATTATTTTACCATTCTGTATGTAGCGTCAAAAGGATTCGTTGTAATATTTATTATATATATTTAACATAATTATCGAGACTCGCATCGTATTCGTTTTATTTGCCAACTTTCAAGTATGTAGGCTCTACTCCATTTATTTCGTATGTATTCTGCATGCCCCTTCAATTTGGTACACACCTGTACACACCTCGTTGCTCATCCCAATTATTGAATAATTGATATTTCATCAAAGTATATATATGTATATGCCCCGTCCCGACCCGACCCGAACTGATCCGAACTGATCCGTCCCCCAAACCCGGATAGAATTCGGATCTCGATCTTGATCTTGTGTATTATTGTAAACTATAGTATAACTGTGTAAAGTGCTAACAATTCAAAATGGAAAGAACTAGCTCCTAGAAAATAACAATGTCCCGCAAAAGAAATTTGATATCCTTTACTAAAACCAAAATATCCGCCCCGCTCAAAAATTAACCCAACAGATTGACGGAAACGGCCCGGCTGCTACGTAATGTCTTTACCCGTCGATCCAACACGAGAGTCGAAACGGAGCTAGAACTATCGCGTGAGTACCACTAAGTTCCACGAGTCTAGTGCTAGGACTTGAGGCTTAGGTCCGGGGCTCCTTCAGAAGGATACGTTGACACGACAGCCAACAGCTACAACACACATGACACACTCAAACAACAGTTCCACCATACACACATAGACACCTCTGAATGGTTCGGTGATCGTATATGATATTAATCCATGTCCTTGTTATCCCTCCCCCCCCTCAGATGGCTATGCATTTTCCCAGGAGGAGGGTGGAGCTGTGCCCCAGTCCATTATCATACGTGCTTATGATACGAATCTGCCAAAGCCCGAAGGCAACTAGTCGGACCAGGTATCTGTAACTCGCCTGTCGAGGACGCGAATGTATATAGAAATCCCGAATTCAACGGAACACCATCATCATACTATATATATATAATTATAATTATAAATATCAAAGGTACTTATGGCCATGGCTGATTTAAGTGATTCTAGTTTTAGCCAGAACAAAGTAAAGGCACCTCAGCAATCACTCTATTCTGGTAGGCCAAACAACTCGCACTACATTTATTCTTTACGTGTCTTAAAGTTTCAGTACTCGATAACAAGTAACAAAATAACATTTTTGTAGAATTCACCTAGCATTGAATAATACGCATATATTTCTCTATCTTTGCTGTTATTTATTTTGTAAGATCGCTAACAAAATATGATAGAAAAAACCAAAAAAAAAAGTATATTATAAAGAGGCTAAAATTTGATTTGGTCATTTGTATCTTATCCTTGTCCTTGGCGCTGCTATGTGATACGGATAATGAGACTTGCATTCGTTTTTTAAAAGGAAATCTATCTCTAAGTAAACTGTAAACATTTGTACCTACATATATGCATTACATATTGTTAATCAAACACAACAAGAACATATTGATGTCGTCAAAGATTCTGTATTTTTCGGTCACGGAACCACTGATATTCACAGAAAATAAATCATATTTCTCGTATGAAATGGTTGTTTTAATATTTCATATTTATTTAATGGTTATTTAATATTTAATGGTTGTTTTTATTAATATTAAATATTAATATTTAATATTTAATAATATTTTAATATTAGTGTCTTTGATACAGCTTTTCGGATAACAAATATTTCGAATTATGGCGCCAACATTTTAAACATGGCGCTTAACAGTACGGTGAGTGAGCATTTACTTTACAGAGACAAGCTTTACATTTACAGTGGTGGCCGAAACAGTAGTTAAGCCTTAGTAGCACTTCTACTAAACTAGCTCCTTTTATATTTTCTGCGTCTTGTTTTGGGGGGTGTGGCTAAGTATTTTCTCACATCCTACCAATTTTAAACATAATAATGTAATTCTCATGCGTAAACCATGCTTTTAAGCTTGACTTTAATGTTGATATCGTTAAACTTTCAACACTACAAGATCCCTCTTCGCTGCGTTTCCAACACTGCTGGTCTAAGCCGGTGTTACTTCATTGATTAACGATAATTTATTAAATAATTTAAAACGGCTCCATGGTAAGTTATATTTAACTTTTCTGAGACTTTATTTAAACTATTTGTCCTTTAAGATTGGCCTACAACTCTTCATAATCCCACTAAGTCTGCTGGGCTTGCTTCATGTTGGGATGTCCGAGAAGCTCCCTAATATTGTGCTCATCCTCACCGACGACCAGGATGTGGAGCTCTACGGGATGCATCCGATGGTAAAAACCATAACAAAGATCGGTAAAGAAGGTGCAGCTTTCTATCATGCCTACACACCCACGCCCATTTGCTGTCCAGCCCGGGCCAGCCTCCTTACCGGAATGTACGCCCATAATCACGGAACTCACAACAATTCCGTCAGTGGAGGCTGCTATGGCTCGCGCTGGCGTACTTTAATGGAGCCGAGATCACTGCCAAAACACCTTAAGCGCCAGGGCTATACAACCTTCTTCGCTGGAAAGTACTTGAATCAATATTCCGCCTCGCTGACGCCCGGGGGCTGGGACCATTTCTATGGCCTGCAGGGAAACTCTCGCTACTACAACTATACACTGCGCGAAAATACGTACAATGTTCACTACGATAAGATCTACCTAACCGATTTGTTACGCGATCTGGCCGTTGATTTCCTAAAACTCGCTACACAGTCTGAGAATAAGTCTGACGAGAGTGATGAGGATGTGAGACCGTTCTTTGCTATGATTGCTCCACCGGCGGCTCATGCTCCCTTTACACCAGCTCCGCGTCACAACGGGACGTTCGACAAGATTAAGGCTTTACGAACACCCAGCTTTAACAAGCCAGTGGATGGTAGGGATGGGGAAAGAATTTTCATAAGATTGTACTAATTCTACCTTAAATTCCAGATAAACACTGGCTGGTGCGATCCTCCCGGCCCCTGCACAACAAGACCATCGACACCATCGACACCTACTATCGCAAGCGTTGGGAAACGCTCTTGGCTGTTGATGAACTGGTGGATGAGGTGGTGAACACTCTAAACCAGACCGGCGTCTTGGACAACACGTACGTGATCTTCTCATCCGATAATGGCTACCATGTGGGGCAGTTTGCACAGCCATACGATAAGCGTCAGCCTTATGAAACGGATATTCACATACCGTTGCTAATTCGGGGACCTGGAATCACTCCCGACAGTCGCATTGATAGCGCCGTCAGTCTAGTGGACTTGGCTCCCACCATTCTGTCCTGGGCCAATGTTTCTATTCCATCCTATATGGATGGCCACTCCTTCCACGAGATGCTCATGGAAAGCCCTAAGCCGCTGGTGGAGCGCTCCATGCTTATCGAATACTGGGGCGAGGGTAACCTCAATACCTACAACGCCAAGTGCCCTGGATCTAATAAAGATCGCTTGGCAGAGTGCACCCCCGATGCGGAATGCCATTGCCAGGATTCGTGGAACAATACATACGCTTGTGTCCGGGAAGTTCGCTACAAATTGAATCGCATTTATTGCGAGTTTCACGATAACGAGGTAAAAGACTTTTCTTAAAGACTAACCAGGCCTTTATAAACTTCTCTCCATTCTAGCACTTCCAAGAGGCCTATGATCTCGACCAGGACAGTTACCAAATGACTAACAGTGTCTATGATTTGCTGCCAATCGATAGAGCCCTGCTGGGATTGAGGCTCAAGAATCTGACTCACTGTTCTGGTAGGGAGTGCTTTGTTTGAAGCTCGCGTGCCATCGAAACCGGAACTATACTTTTAGTTTCTTTTTAATGGAATTTATTACATATAGAATTTATGTGATTTAAGTAGCTATGAACGTAGTATTTACAAAAGCAATATATTATATAGACAAGTTATTTTTGCGCCTCGCTTAGGAGTACTATAAAGTAGAAAAAAAGATAATTACAAACGGAATTCGATTTCTTTTAAGATTAGGAATACTTACACGCTGAGTGCCATGTCGTCCAGAGACGATTGCATTTCCATTTTGGTCCAAAGAAACAGTGCGACCATCAGGGCGCTTCCAAACAGAGACCTGGTCATTCCACACACCGGCCTGATCCCCTCGAGCCACAAAGTTTTCACCCTGGACGCGGGGAGAACCGCGGCGGCTGCGTCGAACCACAAATCCTCCGGGTCCGAAGTCAACAGTGCGATCAGGACGCTCCACGTGGAACTGGGGGCTACGGCGACTGCGATGAATATAGACGCCACCGTTGCCAACGATGACTCCACGATCCGGACGCTGGACGACGAGCTGGGGGCTGCGGCGACTGCGCTGAATGGAGAATCCGCCATTGCCGACATCCACAGTGCGATCGGGACGCTCTACGTGGAACTGAGGGCTACGGGGTGGGCGAGAGCCGGCTGTCTGTCCTCCATAGAGACCATCCGGGCGAGCGGGACCCAAGTTTTGAGCCGTCAAGCCAGGGCCGCTAATAGTGTGAGAGGCTGGAATGGGGGATTCACTTTTTATTGAAACCCAAACCCTCTGAAAAGATTTAAGATTCTTACCGGGTTTCTTGCGGTTCACATAGGTGTTGCCTCGTTCATCGGTGTACACATGCTCACCCCTGGATGCCGAGTTCTCGAACTGACCACCCACGCCGGGCACCGAGTAGGCGCCTTCGTTCTGGCCCCTGATGTAGACCTGATTGCCAGGTGAACCGAAGACGTGAGGTCCGTTCCGGCCATCATATGTTTGTTGGGGATCGGCAGCTGATAAATGTAATTTTATAATCTAAGGTTTTTAAAATTTATTTAATAAATTCTCACCAATGCAGAGCAAACCGCAAGCTGAGATGGCAATTAATAGAAAAGATTTCATTATGATCGATTGTAAAGCTCGGCTTCGACTGACAGACCCCAGTAATGCCTGCTCGCCATTTATAGCCCCCGGGGTTTCTATCAAATTAGCGGGCCGGCAATCTTGTTTACAGCGATATGGCTCAGAATTTCCCAAACGTCACACTGCTCCGATCTGACATGGCAGTGCGACACCCCCCTATCTGGCTCTACCATTAAACGCATCTGCATAATCTATAGAAGCGATCTACCTGGAAATAAACGTGCTTGAATATAATATATTATGATTGTTTATTTGGAAGAGCTTGTAATAACTAGTTAACCTGCCACAACCTGATCTTAATAAAAGTCAAGCTATGAGAAGAATATAATATCACTTACAGTGCAAGCACTTGCCAGACATCACGTTTGCGATGGAAGATGGAGTTGGCCAAAAAGTATTTGTTTCACCAATCAATGGGAAAGGCTTTTAGCCACAGACTTGGGTTACCTGGGGTAAGAAGGTGTCTTTGTAAAGGGGCAGTGAACAAGGCCTAAAGGGAACTGTTTTATATTAGTAACTCTCTCTTTTCTCTGCATCTCCCTAGTTTTGTTTCCCTCTTAGCTAGAAGCCACTGTTTGGACCACCTCAAGGCGATTCCCATTTGAATACAGACTGTCGCATGCATTGTCTTCTGACCAAAAACCAAACTCGTTCCGTTGTGGCAACTCATGTTTATTTAATCTGATCAATTGGCGCAGCGTGTCACATAAATTTGAACAATTTCAAGAATGCACAAAATTTGTCGGTTGTTTGTCTTTCCCCACTGGATCCCCACTGGACGCCCGGCGACAAATAGACGACACTTGTGGCCAAGCCACCGCCTGGCTAGAAGCTCCTGGCTTTTGGCCATGACGGGTGGTGCATCTCAACACCTTTTCGGCCAAATGAAAAGAAATTGCCTGTCCCACCCTGGGATGCTTGAGGTTGCCCGCCGGTCCTTGCCTCCTATCTCCTGTGCACGTGCCCAGGATGTCTCTATATCCTTCGCTTCATTCCACCCCTCCTCCTCCCGTTGACTACTACATACTTCAATGCAATTGCATTTAAATCAGTTGGCCGTGTGCTCCTGCGTTGTTTTTTCTATCCTTGTTGCCTTCCAAGCTCTCAGTTCTTCGTGTGTGGCCGCCGTTCGTTTTTCACATAAATTATGCAAAAATTTTCCAACAACCGAATTGGGGAAATAGCACTGGGAAAAATAGAGTTTCCAATTTATAGAAAACGTGACTTAAGTATAGGCTTGAAGATGATAAGAGTTTCATTATCAGTTTATTTATTTATTTGTTTAATATTTATTTACAAAATACGGTATATACTTGTATAGGAAATATCGCACCCGGTGCGAAATCTTTCAAAAGAACCATATAAAAATGTTTTAATTGAAAACTTTTATAGTTTTAGAAACAGTACATCAACATTTTGAAATATGTATGTATGTACATATATCCGCCTTTTAGACTTGAAAATAATACATTGTCAAGTAATGTTTTTAAAATATTTATATAAAACTTATGAAAGATCAGAAACATTACAGAAATATTTAAAAAAAGAATGAACGTCTGCATATTAGATTTCAAAGTAATTTTAAGAACTCTCCCCTTAAAAATTCCACCAAAAAAGAGCTTTGTTTGGAAATACTATATTTATATTTAAAAATATTTCTACATATTTTTGAAATTTTACTTAGACCCTCTGGTTTTCCTCAGTGCTTGCGGCTTGTGCGCCATTTGTTCATTTCGAGACCAATAAAATGAAGCATTTGAAAGTTGTAAATATGCTCCTGCCAGGACATAGCGTACCATATACAGTGTCTGCGGCTCGTAAACTGTCGGACAGCATTTTGTCAGTAATTTTCTATTTTGTATTTGCGATTTGTGTGGCGGCGACCGCTTAATGAATTGCTTGTGTGCTCCTCGCCCTGCATATGCATAATGCTCGCTAAATTTGTTTATAGAAATTGCATTTAAATAAGTTTCAAATTCCGCACTCATTTCATTTCGTTTTAGCATTTTTTTTGCGGCCCGAGGCGGAGGAGCAATAACAATAGCGAATGGCGGAAAGTTTCGTCCTTTTCTTTTGTCCTGTTGGGTAACATAATATTTTACTCAGGGAAAGCACAGGCACAAAAAAAAAAAATTTGTTTGGCCAAAGGACGAAGGGACCGTCGCGACGGACGGATGGCGGAGCTGCTGTAAAATGGGAATAGAAAAAACAAACGAAATGGCTCGTGCCATGTCATGTTTTGTGATGCACGAGAGTCCAAGGATGCGCTGGGTGTCCTTTTTGTTGCCCCTTTGTCATGTCGCTCATCTCCACCCGCACCCACTCGGCTCCATTCGCGCCACTCCCGCCATATCCTTTTGCCCCTTTTTGTGCATTCGCCGTGACAAGGCAAACGAATTGAGGCATAAGTAGGAATCGCTGTAATATTTTCAGGCAACATCCCAAGTTGTATGGCCAGCTTGGCTATCCCCCACCTGCCCCCACTCCCCACCTCCAAAAACACAGAAAAACTTGAAGCCAAGACAATGCGACATAATCGAAAAACAACAGACGGACGGAGTTCGCGTGAATTATGCTGAAATTGTGAAGGACTCGGGAGATAGATCACGGTACAGCCCGGCTGAAATGTTTACTTTTGATTGACTGGACTGTTTGACAAAACATCCTTTTGGCTGGGATTAGAAGTGTCCATTTGAGCGTCAGATAAGGGCGTGAGACGTATTTTAAATATTTTTGGAAAGTTACTTTTTCTGCTCCTCTGAAGGGCCAAAGCTTAAGCCAAATCGATTCTAATCCAAATCCCTGTCAACTGCGATTGTTCTAAGCCATATTTCAATAGTTTCTGCCGCCGGGGAGTATGCTGCATTTTGCGGCAATCCAAAACTGTTGCATACTTGGCAGCTGCACAGATATGCACACCCCAGATGCCTCATCTCTATATGTTTTCTATCCTTGATATATATACACTATTATAGTTGGACTATTTATCAATTTATTACGCGAACGAAAAAGTTTTTTTTGTCCGACTAAGCTATAACTGTCGCTATGTATCCGTATCTGTGGCTGCCCCCTCTGACATTGTTCAATGCTCATTGGGAATAAGCCAAGTGTGCGTGCCACAAAATTAGCCAGGCACATTCCTACATGCCAGCATCAGGTGGCCGAGCTTTGTTAACGGATTTATGCAGCCATAATAAAAGTTGCGCGTTGCAAATTGATTTATGGAAGCGGCAGATAGCGATAGGGACGGAGCAAAAGCGCGGCAAACAATTGCAGATACTGTATCTGCGCGATACAGCATCTCCGAGGACGACAGCACTGTAGTCGGCCTGGAAAACTTTTAATTTTCTAAATGTATTCGCCGACAGAGAACTTGATGCCTTCGATACGCAACGTCCATAAAGAACCTAACCGACTGGAGAGCCAACCGTCATGGGTTAAGGTTGGGTCCTGTGTTCGGGGGCGTGGAGGCGGCGCACATCCGTCCCTGAGAGCCAAGTTGCAATTTAATGCCGAGGCCAACGTAAAAACTGGAAAATTATGACCAAAATGAGAATTTAATCGAAATACGTGAGTGGAAAAATGAAAATTTGACTGCAACTTGGGAACGCGTCTGACTGGCCGAAGAACATAGCTTTTTCAGCGCGTCTGCTTCAGGAAAAGGAATGCACTCACAAAAAAGGGTGGCAGGTATACCATTTATATTTTCTTAAGCATGATATATTTTTTAAAAACTATTCTAAGATAATATCTTGTTTAAAATATTATTAAAATTATTTAATTTATTTAATTATTTTCCGTGTATAAACACCAAGGCAACAGGCGTTGGGAAACAGCACTAAAGTACCAACTGCAACCTCATGCAATTTTTATCATGGCCACAAACGTTGCAGCTCCTTTTGGTAGCTGACTGCCGGAGCATCCTGGAATCATCATCAACACCGTCTTCATCTGCTTACGCGTTGCCTTGAGGTCGGTCCCTGGTACCAGTATCGCCTCCTTTTTCTCCTCCTCCTGCCACACATCTCTTCACCTTCATTTTGCGGCTCCAGGCAATAGCACAAATTAATGCCGCCGACACTGACTCTTGCTTTCTTTTCGCCAGAAGAGAAACGCCTGTCTTTACCTCCGCATCCAGGGCCAGCGATGCTCCGCATCTCGGTATTCCCACCGTATCTAGTTGCAGTTGTTTCCACCCGATTCCCATACGCAGCGAGGCAGACAGACAATTCTCAAATGAGTCAACAAACAGTAAAATGGTTTATTTTATTACGCACCAGGTAGCCCAGGATTCAGCCGGGAGATATACTTGGGCTTGGTGTTACTTTAAGTCTATACGCCATTCTCAGATGTATTTGATCTTTAATTACTTTTCATTACTTTTCTTAAAAATTTTGATAAAGAAATAATATTAATTCATGATTACATTTATACAAACGAGATAGAATCAGTGCGTATACGTAATATTTTTCACATTTTATTTGAAAAAAAGTTTTGTTAGGTATACTTTTAATAAACGAACTGGTCAAGGTAATCTCATGAAACATACAAATTGTATAATTAGTATACTACAGCATCCGGTTTATCACCTGCGTGGACTGCCGACTTCAGCGATATGCAATACATATGTAGGCAACTGGGCGGATACTTAATATTTTTATTTAGCGGCAACAGTGCGCCTACAGAATGTGACTTGGTGTGGTAGTTATAGGGTACACCTAAGACACTCCTGCATTTTGTTTTAGACATAATTGACTGCCATACAAGCTATCCAGCCCCGTAGGAATAGGTTTTATACCAGATTTGTACCCGCAGTAAAAAATTTTAGCGATGGTCACTATTGCAAAACAAGATTTGGGATAATTAATCGATAAGAGCTTGAAGGCGATGTCATCGAGATCTTTCCATCGCCATTAAGATAAATACATATAACAGAAGTTCCTTTTTATTATCCTTATATGTATTTTATTTTGCTTTATAGCCTTAAATCGACTTTGAATAATTTATCTTTTAGAAACCTTTTTAAAACCTAATTCTTCTATTTAGAAACTTAAAAGACACTTGACTCGCAAGGAACGCATAAACCACCAATAATATGCAATAAATGCATTTAGGCATTTAATATTTAATTCCCAGCTGGCAGCATCCGCTGCTAATTGCTTATAATTAACTAAATGACAGCCGGACGCGGACGTGCTGGCAACTTCATTTGTAGCCCATAAAGCAATCACATGCACTTGCACAACTATAAAAACTTCCTGTCCATCCTGTTCTCTGGGATCCTGGCATCTTGCTCCTTGCCTACTTGCCTCCTTGCTAGCTTACTTCTTGATTCTGGCTTTTGGTCTCTTGAACATGTTTTCCTGTCCGTCCGTCCGTCCATCCGTCTGTCCCTCTGTCCCCTTCTGTGTGTCGGGTACTCCTTTTTCCGGCTGTCATTCCATTGCCATTAGCCTGGCCTTTACTACTTTGCAACATTTCCTTTTGCGACTTCTTTCGTTTGTTGGCTCGCAAAATTTTTTCCGTTGCCTTTTGGGTCCAACTTTTGGCAATTTTCCATATGCAACACGCAACAGACGTTTTTATGTTTTCTGTGTGCGCCGCCCATAAAAAAGTAAACGAGCAACATCCGAGGAATTGGAGGCAAGTCAGCGTCACGGCCATGGCCTCAACAGTTGGCCCTGGCCAGGAGACGTCGGCCGGAAGGGATGACAATGAATTCAGTCACTGCATGGCCAGAGGGCTAGGGGGCTTCGGGGGCTAGGTAGCTGGTATGGCAGTCAATTATCGAATTAATTTAGTTACCCAGTGTCCGGGATGTGGGCAATGGTTTGAATTTGCACTTCATTCAGATCATAAATGCGAATGGCCATTACTAGAATCGGGGATTATGACGACTCGCACGGATGTCGCCGGAAAGCCGGAATTCAAATTGTTTTTACCAGCTTTCGGCCTGATTGTGAAATTCTGCAATTAATTAAATTACCCGGCGAAATGAAATTTTTGTCGCTGCAAGCAACAGCTAGCCGTTGATAGTCCGGAGGGGGAATTTTTGCCGTATCCTGCCCTGCCAGAGTCCTGTCCTGTCCCCGCCCTCGCCTGTGGCCTTGTCCGTGTAATTGATGCGTTAATCCGCATATTGACAGCGGTTGCTGTGGTGGCTTTATGGAAATATGCCCCCAGTGCCCAGCCTCGTGTACTTTGCGTACATATAGTACATCCAGGATATCAGCAGCGGGCTCTGTTTGGCACTTGGCGGGCTTGTTAAAAGGATTTATGCAGTGCATATCGCGGCAGTGCATATCCCGCCGGGGAACCTGCCATCGCGACTGGCTAAGTAATTTAATTACATTGCGGCCCGTAAAATTATCGCAATATTGTTTATTGGCCAGCCAGGCTTGACGCATTTTGTGTGGCATTAATCGCAAATTCTTCGCCGGGGAAATGTCAGACTAATCACAGAATTTAAATGGAAAATCTAGTCATAAAAGAAGGATATTTTCTCCAATTTAATTTTAAGCCTCAGCTAGTTTGAGAAGTTTCTTAGTTAATATGATTACTAGAAATACAAAAGCCAGTTTCATTGTTGAATAAAGTTCTAAACTTGAAGAAAACACAATCGAATCCTGGGAAAACTAAAAACTGGCAATCAAAAAACGCGGTTAGTCTTATGGATTCATGAGTGTATTCAGAACTAACAGCACCCACAATGGGTTTATTCACACATCCAATGCATTGTGTTTTCCAACTGGCTTATGGGGAAAGGGTGGACCTGGGGCTGGCTTTCCCCAAGTTGGGTGGGAAAAGTTTTAATCAAACGCGAATGAGCTCTGTGCCCGCTAATTACATTAGTTGCTGTGGATGCTGCAGTTGCTCTCACTGAATGTTTGATTATTTTCAATTATTTCGAGCCGCGTATTGTGCTGACTTTGGCATTGACAACGGGCAGGATAACACACCCACCACATCCAGACCCACATCCACACACACTCACAGTACAGACACTGGCAAGAGGAAATAGGAAATGTTATTGTCGGTGCACATCTCCACACCATTTCCATTTCCATTCCGAACTGATTCAGTGCTTCGAAAACTTTTGGTATAAAACAAAAATCTGATTTACATGGGCGTGGAAACAATACTTTCTGACTGGTGGGTGGAGCGTGGGTTTAAGGTGGTTGGGTGTTGAAATCATTTTTACCCATTCGACTGTGTGTGTGGGGATACAAAGGACATTTCATGTTAAACAGCTGTCGGAAGCCGCCGGCGCAGTCGTCGTACGTGTGCAAAAACTTGACACAATGCAGTAGCAGCTTCTCCAGGACCTGGGCGAACGGCCAGAGGGGTGTGGCACTGGGTGACATTGCAACTCTTATCGGTCCACATTGTCAAAGTTGTGCGGCAGACACCTGTTGCCAGCCAGAAAATGGCAAAACTCAACTCCCAGTCTCAACAAAATACACATTCTTTAAACAATCTGGTAACAGAATTTAATAAATAATTTTAAGAAAAACGTTTTTGATGATATTTTAGGGGAAAAGTATTCCAATCAAGTACTTTCCGACTTTCCACACTTCTCCAAGCGATCAAATAAAAACTAGAACCCGAGACCAGGATGATTTTCCTACAGCTCTGGTGGGCACTGATGGTGCTCAGTGGCTCTAAGTCCGGATCCGGCACTGACTTGCAGTCTGCGCAGCCCAAGCAGGACCTGATCCTTCCCGCCGAGGAGAACAATAAGCTAAGTAGCTTCAGCCGGGCGGTGGAAAAGGCTCGTGGTGAGCTGCAGGAGCTAAAGTCCTCCTATTCAGGAGACCTGCAGGATCAGGATGCTGGCGAAAAGTTGCAAACCCGGGAAAGACGGAACTCCATCGATGATATGTTGGCCAACTTTGCCGGCGGCAGCGAGAACACGTCCTCTGAGGCGGAGAACGAGCGATCCTTGCAAGAGGCGGCGGATGCCTGGTTTCGCGAAATCCAAGCCAACATGGCCAAGGGCAAGGCAGTGGAGCAGATGCCGGAAGAAAACGAGGGTCTAAAGGAGGAACGATCGACAAAGTCCAAATCCAAGGCCAAGGAGATCATAGACCAGCATGCCAAGGCCATGGCCAGCACAGAAATCGGCAAGGTGAAGATGAAGTACAAAGAGATGCCTCCCGACACGGTGATACAGAAGTTCGAGGTGACCAAGTATCCTTTCCGATCGGACGAGGGCGGTCTTACCCGGCTGGACATCAAGCTGAAGCAGGTTCACCAAATCCTGAATGACCAGGAGAACAATGATGCCCAAAAGAAGAAGGTGGACCAGGAGCTGCGTGAAAAGGGTCAAATATCGATTATAAAGTTGCCCGAATACGGGGATGCCCCCGTGCCGGAGGGCGTCTACGAGAGAACCTTGAGTCGCTTGGCCTTTCCGCATATGCCACCCGACAAGCTGGAGCACGAGGCCAACTATAAGCTATCCAAAATAGAGCAGGAGGCCTCCGAGAAGGCCATGAAGGCGGCCAAGCCTTTCGCCAATGCGCTGGACGAAAAAGAGAGCTCCCAGAATCTCAAACCGAAGAAGCGCAGCTCCATATCCGGCTTCAATCCTATGAATGAGATCAAGCTGAAGACCAGCAGTCGCTTGATGCTCAAGGGCCTGGGTCCCTCGCTGCCCAGTAACAGCCTGATGGACATCCATCGAAACCACATAGTAGACAATATGATTCGCCGCAGGGAGCTGGATGAGACGCAGCGTCAGCCGTACTTTGGTGTGGAACAGGAGGGTGACGAGGAGGTTCGTCGCATCAGTCCTGGCAGTCCTCAGTTCGAGGGCTTCGAGTACATGCAGAGCAATGCTGGTCCCAATCCCCTGATGGATGCGCCTCATAGTTATGATTTCCGGCTGCCGCAATACGATCGCTTCCATTCCCTCAACCAGCGACAGATGCCCAATGTTCTGGAGTACGAAAGGAGCAATCGAATGCCACTGGACTTGGAACGGGTTAAGAGGGAACCATCCTTGCTGACATCGAATCTAGAGGCCGAAGAAGATCAGAAGGCCTTGGACCATGACGAAGATGCCAAAGTGGGCTTAGTGGAAGTCAAGGGAGGCGAAAGTGCTCTCGATTCCAGCCCCAAACTCAAGGAATCCCAGAAGGATATTAAGCTTGAGGAGACTCCAGAGGAGGTCAAGCTGAGTGAAGAGCACTTGACAAACGCAGAAACCAAACTAGAACCTGAAGCATTGACCATGGCCCTGAAAGGCGATGAAAACATCCATGTTAATCGTGAAATGCCCCTGGAGGACAAACTCAAGGACGATGCCCTGGAAATGGCCGATATAAAGCCGGAAGCAGAGTCTCCAACAAAACGCGAAATTTCCGATACAGCTAGTCTGAGTTCCGAAAACGAAGAGAGCCCCGATAGCGACCAGGAACTGGCCTCCAAAGTGGGAAAGTCCTCCAAAGTTGGAGCTGTGTGCGATAAGGCGGATAATGTTCTCAAAGTCAACCTCAAGTTGAAAATGCAGGAGCCTGCGATCAAGGTTCCGCGGGACAGCCCGGAAGCCCACAAACGAGACGTTCAGGAGAGTGTGCCTGCCGTTCCGAAGGTAAACCCTGATGCGGTAGTCAAGCTCCTGGCCAATGAGATCTCCTTGGACATGAATCGAGGCAAGAGGCAATCGGAGAGTCAGCGATATCGCAGGTTTTCCCGTCGACAGCGGCGTTCAAGGAGATCCTTGGACGCAAAGGAGGGCCCGCCTGCTAATCCCGGCCAGCAATCAGAGCCAAAACCAGAGCAACACGTGGTGGCCAAACGCACTGCCCAACTGCTGGATGACTTCGAGGACCACAATGGAAACCGGGTGCACTTCGGGGAGCTTGGCAATGGCATGCTGACTCCAGACGTCGGGGATAGTGTCGGAGCCAAGCCCATGCATCAGCCGGAGGAGCATTACGACGAGAGAGAAAGGGCCGCCCATGAGGAAGATGTGGCGCACATCTATGATCATTCAAGAAACATGGTGCCCATGATGCATCGGCGGCCAAATGTTCAGGTTGTTCAGGTGCCGATGCTCCAGCAGCAGCTCCCGCAACTGCAGCTCCAGAAAGTACATTTGCCGAAATTGCAGCTTGTGCAACCATTAGCGTTGCCACAGCCTGTGCAGCATCAGCAGCAAGTGCCGCAGCAGCAACAGCAGCAAGTTTCACAGCAGCAACAGCAAACTCAACAGCAGCCATTGCAACAACAAGAGACCGTTCCACAGCAGCAGCAACCAGTGCAACAGCAGCAGCAATCAGTGCAACAACAGCAGCAACCAGTGCAACAGCAGCAGCAACCAGTGCAACAGCAGCAGCAACAAGAGCCGAAAGAGCAACAGCCCCAGCAGCAACAACAACCTCAAACACAGGCAGAACCAAGCTTGCAACGTCATCCAAACGAAGCGACCTCCAATTTCAAGGCCAGTTTTAATTTAACACACTTTTTTAATGAACTGCAGAAACTGCAAAAAGTCCAGCCACCACCGATGCCCGTGGCACAAACTCCAACGCCAGCCGTTCCATCGCCAGTGTTTTCTAGCAAGACCCTATTTTCGCCGTCCTCCAAGACCTTTGGAGTCCATCGGTACTTTGGACCCTTCAAGCTCAAGAACTCTCCCATTGTCGGTGATCCTTGTGCGACCATCAGTCCCAACTGTGTCCCGGTCACCACACCTTCCCCTTCCTCCTCCCCTTCCCAGGGAAGCCAAGAAGGTTGCCACGAAGGTGCCTGCTGCACTGGTCCCGATATCATGAAACTGAACGTCTCCATCAACGCCAATGTCTGCGGCAATCCCAAGACCAAGCAGTTCTTCGGCAATGGCTCCATCAACTTGCAGCCCGGCTACAGGGACGAGGCTAACCTAAGGTCTGACTCTGGTCAGGATTTGCACATCCAAGTCAAGGATGAGCGACACATCCGTGAGACGGGGGAGGAGTCGAAAGAGGAGGATTACGGGGACTTGAACGAAAAGGAGAGTGACTCAGATGGTCACCGCAAAAAGCCCCTAATAAAGTGGCCCAGGAGGAACAAGGAAAAGGTGAAGGCTAATCCAAAGGAAACGTGCAAGGAGGCTTCAGCGGAACCACCTGCCAAAGATGAAACAAAATGGTAGGTTTTCGTTAGATTTCGAAAAATTGAAATTTATTTAAAATGTATTTTCCGACAGCCATCGGGGCCATCATAATGACTCTGAGGATAAGCCCATGTCCGAGAGCTTCCAAAAACTCCTCACGGGCAAGACATCCGAGGATATTGTGGCTGCCGTTTTCGACGCTGTGGAAAACGATCCTGGAATGGATCGCCTCCTGGGGGTCCTTGAAAGAAATCGCAAGTGTCTGAACAAGCGACCCAAGAATTTCTATCAAATTCGTAACAACAAGAACGAACAGTATCTTAAGCAAACGGAGACTATGGTCCGGGACACCATGGTGGCTATTAGTGATATAATCGACCAGCAAGTGCGCCAGAGGTCATGCATCCCCTTGAGACCCGATCTATTGGAGTTCTACAAACTGATTCTGAAAACCTCGGAGGAGCAACAGAAATGCCGCGAAAAGCGGCAAAGTTCCATGCGGAGTCTGGCTGAAGATTTTAGCCAAGATGTGCGTTTGCTGGATCCCAGCAAGATCAGTCAGAAGTCCAAGATTGTCAAGAAGTTGTTGCGGCAATACGAGGAGTTGCCCGCCGAGGACCAACAGGCGGCGTCCGGAGTGCGGGACGAACTTCTCATGGACTTGGTCTATCTGCGAAAAATGGCTGACACGGCGGAGCGCGTCCAAAGGAATGCCCGCTTGCAGGAAATCCTCAAGCAGACGAGTCTGGACGGGGGCCTGGAGAAGAACGTGAACCCAGAGTACTCGCCTAGGTTTATAAAATTGCTGAAAACTGCCGAACTTTTCAAGGAAGCCGGTGAGCAGCAGGCCAAGGAAATTGTTGGTCGTTAGCTTACTTTGAATTTATAATTACTTTTCGGTTTGTTTCTTTGAATGATTTTTGATTTTTATTAATAAAAATTGACTTCGTTATTTAGTAAACTGTTTTTTTTAAATATTGAAATTATAAAAAAATTTGAATAAATAGGAAAAGCTTTCCAATATTAGCCAAAGTAATGGGAAAGTCCCAGATTACCGCCCAGATCTGACTGCCCCTTGAAAGGTCCACTAGTCCATTTCGAGGCCGTTCCGCTGAGGTCCAGCCTGGTGTTGCGGTCCTGGGACTGCCAGAGGTTGGCTCGTCCTCCGAGTTCCAGCTGCTTGCCCAGTCCGGGAATGTTGCTGTGCGTCAAGCTGGCTCCATGGCCACCAATATGCGAGTAATCCAAGCCAGCTCCATTCCTGTCGAACTTGAAGCCATTGGCAAGCTGATTTTGGGAAGCAAAGGCCTTGGCATCCAGGTTGTGGACTCCGTTGTTGAACAGATTGGCGGTGGCCGTCTGCTGGAAGCTGTCGCGAACTCCAGGGGTATGGGTTTTTGTGAGTTCCAGGCCATGACCATGACTGTGAACAAAAGGATAATTTAATATGTATATCATAGCCATAGTTTGCTAAACTCACTTGTTGTAACCCAAGGTAGCTCCACTGGTAACTGGAGTGGAAACAGGACCTCCGGTCTGGGTATTACCAGCCGCAAACACTTGGCCCACCAGGTTGTGCTGCGGAGTTCCTATCGCCTTGGTCAAGTCCAACCTGGCATCGGCTCCGCCACTGGGATTGGAGGTCAAGGACCCGCCCAGCACCTGGCGACGCACCCGGATGGGCTGGGTGGAGACCGGTGGAGGTGGATAATAGATCAGTGGTTGGAAATACGGACCTTCAGGGATCGCCGCCGCAAAAGACGCAAACACACAAATCGTGACCACAAATAAAGAAACCAGTTTGCTCATTCTGCTGAGATGTTTTGCCTTTGCTGATTGACTTGGGATGACTGTTTTGAATGTGGATGCTGAATTCGAATCGATTCTGCCTTATATAGCAATCATATCTTGGTGCTAGTGATTCCCTCGAATTATGAAAGGGATTTACAATGCGAAATCTCTGCGAAATCGAATGCCTTATCAGTGCAAGATGAACTGCCTGGGAAGTGGAGTCCCCGTTGGAACAGGTGGTTCACATTCCTGATAAGAGGTGTTACTGCTAGAAAGTCCCCTGAAATTAATTGATGGGTGATTTTTTATTTTTAGGGGATTTAAGAGGATTGCGGAAGCATAAATATTATTTATAATTTTCAATTAAAATTATGGAAGTAATAGCCTTTTATATAAAACAAAGTAAAAGAAATATAAATATTTCTAAATTACTGAAAGTGACAACCATATCGTAGCTTTGTTGTTTGCTTCTTTTTAATTCGTTAATTATTATTTTTTTATTTGCATTGAAAAAATAAAAAACCGAATAGTTAGAGATGCAGTATCCCCTGCTCCATCGCAGCACCCAGATAACGATGTTGCGGAGGCAAATCAAGCGGAAGAGCAAGGAGGTGAGACGGCAGAAGCGCCGGGCCAGACGGCGCCTGGAGCTGATGCGCCGCATCCGGGAGCAGCTCCTGCGTCGCGTCCAGAGCTCGATCGAGTCTCGAGAGATGGAAGCGGAGGAGGAGCGCCGGGAGCGGGCGCGCCAATCGCTAGGCGCCTTGCTAAGGATGTACAGGCGGTGGCTACAAAGCTGGTCGAGGACCTTGAGGCAGCAGCGCCGCCAGATTAGCCAGCAGGAGCAACTGGAGCTGCAGCTGCAACAGCGACTCTACATGCTGCGGAAGCAGCTCAAGAAACGGAGAAGGCCTCAGCACATGGTTGATCAGTGCATCAAACGACTGGCCAGGGCGGTGAGAAAATGGCAGAAGAGTTCCGAAATGCATCCCCTTCTGAAGGGTCAAGACAACATCTGGGAGATGGAGGCGGTGGAGGTCCGAGAGTATCTGACCCATCTGCACGGGAAGCCACTGAAATTGGGAAAAGCGAAGCTTCGGAGATCCGTCGGGGATATCGAGGATTTTGAAATACCAGACTTCAAGGTAACCTACAATGCTAGGAGGAAGACGCGACGGCGTCGCAAGTTTCCAGCTGATGAAAAGATTCAAGACTTTTCAAAGTTCTGGGATGCCGAAGTCCTTCAAAAGAAACCCAAGTCATACCCAAGCCACGGGACTCTATCGCATAAAAGCGATACAGATTGCTCATTTAATCCCGATCATTTAAGACATAAAAAGAGCTTAGCACATAGAAAGCTTTACTCTCTTCCGCCAATGGTTACATTTAAATCGTCTCTAAATGTTTTCCAAAGCAAACAAAGTTTACGAAAATCCTATCCAAGATTCAAAGAAAAAAAAAGTCACCCCTCAAAGAAGCCATCGCTAGACGCGCTGCAGCGACTATTAAACCAACTGCAGTCGATAAACGCCGAGAACCCGGCAAGAGGTTCTGGCAAAAGTCGGAGGGGTCGACATCATAAGAGAAAGATCAACAGGGCAACTAGTGCCGACACCCTTGTCGGGGCGAAGGCCACAATACTGCAGAAGAAGGTGATCAGGCTGAGGAAAAGACGAAGGCCCCAAAAGATATCCAGTATGGAGGCCAGGCTGGAGGAGTTTCGTGAAAGATTCCATGCGGACCATAGAAAGCCAAAGCATTCTAGTAGTGCTACCTCCGGTGTCGGCCATGGTTGGAAGAAGAAAAGGAAAATTAGCTATGGTCCGCCACATGAAACAATTGTTCAAAGCGGCGATTTCGACTCTGACATAACAGATTTGGAGAGGGATTACCACCATAAACAAAGAAAAACGAAAGGATCTATTGAAAGCGAGGAGAAACCCAGCTCTTCGCCAACCGTATCCGATACGGGAACTGAATACATGGCCAGAAGATTGAGAAAATTGAAACGACGACAATATGTCGAAACTAGTCCGTCTGTTTTGAGCCGAGATACCCAACTATCTGTCGCATCGTTCAGTGAATCGGTCAAGGAAATCATTTTGTCCGATGATCCCCGGGGCAGTCTTCGTAGATCTTTTCGCGATCGTAAGCCCCGGGGGTCCTTAAAGCGCCGACCTGTGAAGGGCCGTTTGTCCCTATCCATTGGTAGAAAAGGGCAAGCCATCATTGCCAAGCCATCCACCAATATTCCCATACACTTGCGTGGTTCAGATGATGATGCTGGAAGCAGTGAAAGCTACAGGATTGGTCAACAAATTGGAAACAGAATTGGCGATGGAATCCGGGGGCAGATCGGCTACAAGCCGAGAGCGAGGGCACCCGTGGACCCTAGCAGGGTTCCGGTGATTGATATGGTCACACATATGGCCAAAAGTCAAGCTAAACAGGTTACCAAAGTGACGTCCAAAGAGGCGCTTAGGGAGTCACTAAAAAATTCTGAGTTTCCTCAAGAATTTATGGATTTGGATAAATGGGAGAGAGACAACACCCGGGAAACCTTGGATTCAATTCCCCCACTGGAGCTGGAATTAGCCGAGCAGAGCAGATTCCGTGTGGAGGACATGAGCACAGATTATAAGTTCCGGCGACTGCAGAAGTTCCTCAAGGATATAATCGAGAATAACACCATCATGGACTATGTGGCGGACACCAATGAACTCATGAAAGTGGTGGGCAAGCACGAGATGTGGAAAGACCTGCAAGATCTTTACAACGATTTGGCTGCCCGGGGTGTCAGCCAGGAGGACAGCAAAAAGATTTTGGGCAACAAGTACATGGAGTACCTAAAGAGCATCCTCAATGAATTAAATTTGGCAAAAAAGGCCCTGCCCCGCCTAATACCGCCACGCGATTCGGAAAACAAAGTGATCGCCATCCCGAAAAAGGACCATTCGCATCTGAAGGTCGACCATCTCTTGACAAAGCGTACCCTAAAGAAAAGTAAATCAGTGGCTCAACACGAGCCTCAGCCGGATGAAAGCGATAGCCATTCCCAGGGATTGGGGACACCTCACCGTCGACACCAGGTGATGGATGACTTGATGTTCAAGAAAATAATTGAACAGGAACTATTAGCCGCGCGTCTCGTCAGGGAGGAGCGTCGCCGAAGATTGCTAGCCTATCCTAGTTTCTCCCGCCGATTCAGTTCCCATTCGACATACAGCAACAGATCCAACTGGGATGTGGCCCCCAGTGAGGAGGAAAATATCCGGGAGGCCGAGACGCGATATTCGGCCAAGAATCTTCAGACCATACTGAACGATCATACGCTTATGTTTAAGGTACGCAATCCACTTCCAAATAGATTTTTCGATAACCTTCATAGTGTCTTTCCATCCCAGATCAATGAGCAAAATCAAGAGATCGATAAGGATGATAAACTGACTACCAGGCATCCCAAGAAAATACAGAGGCACAAAGGCTCTCCTGTGGAGAAGCCCTTGAAGATCAAGCAGACTAGGAAGAAGCCTCAGACCACATATGCTGTTAGGGATACCACGAAGAGACAGCGGCGTCAGCTTCGGCCCACTGAGGAGTTGTTCTACTCGCCCAGGAAGACTTGTCGTCAGCAGAAGATTAGTGACTTCGGGGAGCCAACGGAATGTTTAGGTTGCGTGTGTCTAAAAGAACCTTGCAATTCCAATTACTATGAAAAGTGTCCACGTTGCGGTGTTCCAGTGGAGGTCCCGCAACCACCTTCCACGACTCTCTTGGCCTGGGAGAGCAGCCAGGATATCTTGTCTCAGGGATCCATCGAGGCGTGTGCCAAAAACGAGTGGCTGCTGAACACCACCGAGGACATCTGCGTACGCTGCGGCTATGTCCATCCCAAGACCAAGTACTGCCCCCAGTTGCCGGTCTGTCCGCTGAGGACGAAGCCGCTGCAGCAGATAAAGCGAGCCCTGGTGGACCAAGTGGAGATGCCGGAGTGGCCAGCGTTCTCTTCACCCGCCGGGATCCTCAAGAAGCCCACCCATCGCTTTCGAGTCGTTGATCCTTAGGCCGGGAGTAGTAGTTGCATCAGGACAAGTGGCTTTCAAAGTTTCAGGAGCATCCTGAACCGGAAATGTACGGATATGAGCCACCAAATCAGCCGGCTGGGGCGAATGAAACATTTGGTTTAAGTGCTAAATAAATTCAAGTAATGAGTTTGCCGCTGTCTGTGGGTGTGTGTACTTGTGTGTTGTTAAATGCTTTGCCAAGTCTCATAAAATATGCAAGGACCCTGCCACACCCACACTCCTGCGCATACCAGCCCGAACACGCATACGTTGCACTCACGTACAAGGAAAATGTCTGCGGGCTTTTAATACACTTGCTCCTGCTCCTTCGGCTCTTCTTTATGTTTTCTTTTTTGGCTCAAAGCTTGAGGGGCTGGATGCGGGGCTGCATGCAACTAAATTTCATCGTCGCCTTCTTTTTTCGGCCAAGTTTTTAAGTCAGGCCATTGCTGTAATGGAATTTTATTGCACACTCGCATTCTGTTTGCGCAGGCGAAACATGTTTCGGGCATTTTCATAAATGAAAACGCTAAAGGATTCATCAAATAAAACAACGAAGACTAAATACCCTTAAAGGACTGTACCTAAGTGATTGCTGGAGATATAGTAACTATCTGAATTGCCTGAAAATTAATTAAATACCAGTGGTATGGCAATCTGAATAAACTCTTGTTGAACCGCAAATGACAAGATTTTCGAGAGCTGATACAAGGGGCTTTAAGCCATAATTAAAGCACTTGCCGGACCAGCAATTGGCCAACTGTCGAACGCATGGCAATAACATTTCGGGGGAAATTGATGCTGGCGATCAATCATTTACCAGCCTACGGAAACTTCCAAAGGACACCGCCGGGCACTTGGCCATTCTGTGGCCCGTGGCAGCATTTTCATTAAGCCAGCTCTGCCTCTGCCACAGTCTCAGTTTCAGTTTCCACATCCGCATCCTTGCCCACACTACTGCCTCGTCCTCCTTTACCGTCACAGATTGTTGGCAAAAGGACTTGGACGTAAGCTGAGACGTTTTCATTTGCATTTTTGTACAAATCGCCGGGGGGCGGAATGGGTCTGAGCGAAAAACAAACTGCCAAAAACCGAATTCCCAGTCTAGTGTCCGCAAATTGCCGAAAAAGGACTCTCCGACTGACTGACTACAAGTCCTTTAACTGCGCTCGATTTGCGATGACTGCTGTAACATTATCTTGTTTGCTCATGACACGCGACCAGGCCCAGAAGGTCCTTCTGCCTTCACGTCCGGATGTAGCCGGCTATTGTCCGGCATTCGAGGAACTCCTAGAAAAATATACTAGAAAGTGAAGAGGAATGACTAATTTTACTGATAACTAGAATTATTTTTATAGTTTTCATTAGACTAGTTACTCTTTTAATAATATTACTTGGGGAGCTGCTATTTTTTGCAGTGCAACTCCCCCGCGGGAGGCCAATCAGGACTTGCAATGTGCGATTTGTGATTTGCGTTTGGCGACAGGCTTTTGTCATTTGGCTGCGGGTCTCTCGCTGGCAGAGTCCTTTGTGAGTCGATTCCGATGGCTTGTCAAAACAAGGAGAGCAGGCGAAATGAAGCATACAATTGTTGGCAATTTGCAACTAAAATAGCCATTGTGATTGCGTTTTATTAGCTGTCAAATTTTAATTAATTCCCAACATCTTTTTGGCCAGGCTTTATGCATTCAGTTTTTTGTCCTCCCTACCCTGACCAAGAATAGACTAAATCCTCAAGGCAAACGCACACAGGACACAGAACTCAGGACAATGGGCCTGGAACACAGGCACACACAAGGAGCGGGCGCACAGTAATTATTGGGCTCAGGTGTGGGCAGGACATGGAATATAAGTAGCCATAAAGGAGCAACAAATTGGACTTCTCAGGGGTAGGGTTTTGCTTTGCTTTCTTCCTTTTTTTTTGGTTGGTTGGCAAACAAGCCACAAAGAGAAAAGCCATAAGATAAATGGGCTAACTTAAATTAGAATGGCTTCCAGCCGAGAATTGTTAAATGGGGATGCTCCTCGGATTCAAAATGTGAATGCTCTGTCACGCCGAACCAGTTCCAGGTGAGGTTTATCCTAGAAAGCGACCTGGCAAAGTTATGGAATAATAGATAGTTACATCCAAGGGGATGTTTGGAGAAAAAAAGCTCAAAGCCTGAGCCTGATTTGGCAACATCCTGCTATCGGAGAACAAGCCAAGTTTAGAAGGAAATACTTACGATAACTGCAATTTGCACTTAACCCTTGCCAAACGCCGCAAGTTTCTTGGATCAGGATCCGGCTCTGTCGCCTAGGACTCCCAGCTCCTTGGGTTGGACAATTAAAGGAGCACACACACTCTCCTCGCCCTCGCCCGCCAACCAGCTAACTGACTCCAGCTAACCACTCCAGAGCCACTTGAAAAGTTGGCCGCAAAGTGCGAATGCATAATTAATTCCAATTATGAGTTTACCCAACAACATCGGCAACATTGGCACTCGCCTTCGTTCTCGAGACGAGACAAGATGCGTTCCGGGGCAACTTCACAGAGCTAGCTAGATGGTTGCCTGCATGGGGCATCAGTGGGGGCTCGGGGAGGACTTATCAGAGCATCGACAGCCGGGTGATACACCTACCTAACCAACCCACAAGCCCTGCATGCCCCTGAACTTTGATGCCTGCGACAGTCAACCCGTTGGATGTTCCTGTTGCTGTTGCTACTTGTGATGTTGCTGTTGCTTGTTGCATAGTTCGAGTGAGCCAAGTGCTTGGCATGTTTAAACACATGCTCAAGTGTCATTTAGACAGTTATCCGAAGGAGTCTCGGTATCTGGGATCTCGCCTTCTCAGACAATTGATGGCCCAGCGAGCTAACTTCAGCCTCAATTACAAAATGCTAAAAATTGCAATATCAATAACATTTTATGTTGTGCCGCCCCGGCTGGCGGATGGCGGCAGGAGGGTATTTTTTAAAGGTTTAAGGGTAACAACGAGTACCATGGCTAAGTGTTTTTGGCCGCCGACAGCCTTCAAAGCAGCCCTCACTATTAACGGAAATGCATTCTGGCATTCTGGCTTCTGTGTGTGTTTTTTTTTTTCGCTTTCTGGAGAGCAGTGCGTCGCGTCTGCCAGGCTCAAGTGTTTTAATGGATTTTCTAGGAAGCAAATACACACCCACACATGTAAGACCCCGATTATGGAGTTGGATTTCTTCTCATCACTCGCTTTCCATAAAGTACATAGAAAATACTCTCGTTGTTCAAGGAATGTCAAGTTTTCAGGTCTCATGTTTTCCATGTGACATCTCTGCACATGCATCAATCATTTTGGCCATAGCCCCCATCGCCTTCGAGGCAATCTGCGGCATTAAACCAATCAAAAAGAAGTTGAGTTCATAAAAGATAATAAGCTGGCTTAGCCGCATGCCATTCAAGGACTTAAGTCCCGGGGCCGCAGCTGTATCCGCATTCGCATTCGCATCCTCCCTCGCCTTTGCCTCTGCCAGGACTCTGCGGCAGTCCAGGGGAAAGCCTATAAATTTGCAGATTATTTGCATATTGTGTCTGCTTCACTGGCACGTTTATATATACTTTTTTTTGTATACCTTGTATTACAATTGGTATAATTTTTTAAAACAAAGCATACTTGCTGCAGAAACTAATGTAAATAGGGGGCATAAATATCAAGGGAGGCACAAGAAGAATGCAACGCAGATTTGTTTAAATGAGGATCCTTAATAGATATCCTTTCCTATAGTCTGCCTGTCTGTTTCTGTTTCTTAGCAACTCGTCCCTTGAACACTGTTTAATGAAATTCTCGAGCCGTGATGGTCTGCCTTGAAAGGACTGCTGACAGGAAATGCTAATCCGCAGGAAGTCGGCTGCAGTTGATAAATGAGTCATTTGCTTAGTAATTTAAGCGTTCATTCAATAAGCGAACTGGCCAAAAAATTGAGAAGGGCTGCTGTCGCTGGTGCTGGTTCTGGTTCTGGTGCTGGTGCTGCTGTTTCTGGGGTCAGCTCCAAGATTTGTGTAACCAAATACTCATTACATAAGTTGGCAGGACGAGCATGAAGTAGAAACTGGGCAAACAGCACTGCAAGTTGTAGGCACTGAGAGAAAAGGACCTTATCCAATAGTCCTTATTAGACCTAGAGAGTAAAACTACGTTTCCCTGTGTAAAAATATGCTGATATGGAGAATTCTTTCCTGGGGGATGCCAGTCCTTTTCCATTCTGTGTGCCATAGTGTGTGCGTATGGGTGGCATGGGTGGGTGTGAGTGCTAGTTAAGCCAAAAACAAATATTGACAGGCAAAGTCAAATGCTTGACGTGACGGGGACGTGGTCGGGGGCCGACATTTAAAGTAATCGAGTGTTAAAAACGGCAAACGCAGCCAAACATTGGGCTCAGCTAAGTCAAACACCACCCCCAGTAAATATTTAGTTGCTCATAAATTATGAGGGAGTGTGTGTGGGGGGAGGACCAGTGCCGGGAATCGAGACTTTAATGCCTCATTAAAATATGCACGATGGCAATAAAATTCAAGCTGACGCCGCCCGCGGCCAAAGTTCCAGCGATCTGCGATCTCAGAGCTCTCGGGTTTTGGGTGCCTGGGCGGTTTGAGTTTGAAAAACCTGCGGCCGTGCCATAAAAATCTTGAAGGCAGCTTGACAAAGTTTTCACATAAAATAAATTGCTGCCAAATAATAGTCAGGAAACCCGTTAACGTGTCGAAGGATGCAAAGGACGATGACGATGATGACGACGATGATGCCGGGCTGCCTTTTTGCCAACGGCAATTGATAGGAGGTCGAGAGTGTTATAGGGAACGGAATATGGAGGTCTCTGTGGGGGTGCTCTAGCCATCAACTTGTTGTTTATTAAATTACAAATAAATAATGAGACTGATGGGATTGCTGCCTGCCGCTTGCCGCCTGCCTGCCTGCCTGGAGTTATTAAAAACTTTACAGAAACAATTAACACAGTCAGTCATCTGGCTAGGGGTTGGGAGTCCTTTGGGCTGGGTGGCTCGACCCCCAGAGTACGGGGTAAGAGGCTTTTGCTTCCTGTCAAACACTTTAAAACCGAATGACAAATTGAAATCCTGGATTTCGCTTTAAGCCGCACTCAGTCCGAAC